GGTTCTGCTTCCTCCACTGCCACCCTTTCCCAGGGAAGCGGTCCGTTGTCAGTGAGCGCCCCTCATGTAACGGCACAGCCTGGACAGAGTACATAGAAAGTCCTTAAACGTCGAAGAGACTGGCGGTACAGCAGCTGGTAAAAGATGAAGGTTGGACTATTTAAATTCAGAGACTTTGGAAATTATTTTATCATCTAAAGTGTTCTCACAGAATTGGCTGTAACTTTGAGTCAGGGATTCTTTTTTTTTTTTTTTTTTTTTCTTTTTCCTAAAAGTCTGGGGGGTTTTCTGGTTTTGGTTTTGTTTTAAATTTTCTTATTTTTTATTGATTTATTTTTCCACTAATTGATGCATTCATTGGTTGGTTCTTGTATGTGGCCTGACTGGACATCGAACCCGCAACCTTGCTGTTTTGGGATGAAGCTTTAACCAGCTGACCTACGCAGCCAGGGCAAGTCTGGGACTCTTGCCTCTGGGTAGCCCCTGAGAACTGAAGGGACCCTAGTGCTCATGCTCATTCCTGATTCTCAGGAATCTTAAAATCCCATCACTGCCTCTAGATCACTGCCTCCTCTCCTCTTGGTGCACCTGTCTGCGTAGGTACACAAATTCTGACACTTGGCGTGGGGGTCCGTGAGCCTTAAAGGCCAAGATCAGGACCCAGGGAGGTGCCCTGTCCCTGGGGTTGGGTGTCGAAGGGACAGCCTTGAACTTGGTCCAGCGTTAATCATCCTGCTCCAGGTCACAAAGCAGGTAGTATGTGGTCTTCACAGACCTGTGATTATTTCGAGTTTTGGTCACTCGGTGATTCTTATGTGTTGTTACTAACATTAAGGAAAGCGGAGCTTATACACTACATAGTGATTGTCTTTGAAGGTGGCGCAGAATCATTGCGAATTCCCATCACTGATAACGCAAATAGGAAATAAAGCACCTACCCTCCTCTGAAACTTGAAAAATGGTGAACTTGATTTTGGAAATTGCTGATCTTTCTGCCCCTGTAGCCTCACTGCTCTGTCTCCCCACAGTCTCCTGCTCACCCAGTTTTCCTGGGTCAGCCTCTGCTGTTGGACTTCCCATGAGACCTACTCCCAGTGTCTGGGCTACTCTGATTTCCCCACTCATATAAATAACAGTATCACCTTCTTTACAAAAACTGTGTTCTTGGGGTTATGTCTTTAGAATATCTCAGAAAGGAATTAGTGCATGGAAGGAAATGAACATTTTTATAGCTTGTGTTGCATAGTTCAAGGCTTTTCCTGAAACATAGACCCAGCTTAGAACATGCTCAGTGACTGTTAGCATACACGTATTTCCATGGCTCCATCCACATGGTTACTTTAATTTGGCTTTGCTATAGTAGTACTGTCTAAGAGTTGAGCTTTTTAATTTTCCAGTGCACGTGAGCCTGGATATTACTGCGTGTTTTGGCTTACTATCTGCATCTTGTATAAAACTGGGTTTTTTTCCTTTGAGTATTGATTAAATGGAATATGGGTGTTGATCGTATATGATTATCCTTCCAATATTTCTTATTGGCTTCTGTTTCTCTAAACATTTTGGTTGTGTGTATTTAACGCATCCTTCTCTGAGTAGATGTAAGTTTTCATCTATTTTTCTCCCAGTTTTGTTGTTTGATACATGTTTAATGCCTTGACTTGTGTGTGCTATAGAGTGATGAATGAATCCCATACTGTTTTTATGTTTCTTAACAATTAGCTTATTCTTACGTTCTTTCTAGTTCCTCGTGGAGTTTTATAATAGTTTCGATTTATTTCTGGAATCTTAAATTACAGTGATTTGTTTCTTTCTTTGGTTTTCTCCTACATCATAAACTTGGGCTCATTGTTAGTAAGATATTTGAAATCTGATAGGATAAGCCTACCATTGTGACATTTCAAGATACAAGTATTTGGTGTTCTTGCATACTTATTCCTCTAGATGAATTCCGATCTCAATTTGTCAGGTCATAAAATATATTCTACAGGAATTTAGAATCCATGTTACATTAAATCCTTTTGTTTTCTTGGGAAGTATTAACTTTATAATCCTTTCAGCCAAGAATTAGTGATTTCATTCCTGTATTCTTTTATTTATCCTATTAGGTATGTATTTTTTCCTAATTAAATTTTAATATCCTGTTACTTAACACACTTTAAATACAGGGTCTGGCACAAGTAATGCCCCTTTTTTATTTCCTAGAACTCCTTATTACAAAATCATAAGCATGTAATTCTGTGATAATAACATCACACTCAAGCACACCATGTGACATTCTAGGTGGGGTCTTCAAATTGCTGTCCACCTTGTGCGAGACGTTCACGTACCTACCACCACACTGGAGCCAGCCTTCCTCCTGCCGGGCCTGTGTTTGTAAAACTCCTCTGTGGGGTTTCTATGTGAAGGGGCTTAGTGCATAAAAATGCAGTGATTTTTTTTATCTTAGAGCTTATAGCTTTTCTAAAATCATTTATTCTTGATGGTATTATTTTTGCTTCTTCCTTTCTCATACGTCACTAACGAAAGCGCATCTGCAGTGTTGACGGGCAGCCTTTGCGGTGCAGTGGTTCAGAAAGAATTCACCCCAAGGAACATGCTGGTGCTTTGTCATTTTAAAGTAAATTATTTAAAAATAATATGGAATCTTTACAGAACTTACTTTTTACAATGAATATTTAAGTCAAAAAATTATCTAGGTCACCTTCTCCTTGGAACATGTCTAAATTCCATCCACTTCTGAATAATGTTAGTCACAGAGACGTTTTTCTCCTGAAAACATTCTTCAGTCTCAAAACAGTTTCTGACTGTAGTAGTTTTACTGCGTGTGTTTTGCGGTCAACCCTTGGTGTTATTCCCTAGGGCCACGCACCGCCGCCACGCCTCCCGTGGGTCTGATGGGTGCTTCGGGTGGCCTTCCCTTCACTGGGCGCCGCTCTGGTTTCTTGTAAGGCACATTATCAGCGCTGGAAGTGGCTGGTCCCAGGCCACAGTTCCCAGTCCTGGTTCAAAGAGTTTTCTCTTTTTAGGTGCTAGGCGTGCATTTCTTTTTCTCCCTAGTTACCATCCTTTTAAAAATGAGACTGCTGGCATTCCTGAGTGTGAGTGAAAGGCACTCTGTCATCCCAGAAATGTATATTTCTTTAACTTTTTGTTCTGAAGTGATCACAAATTCATAGGAAGTTGCAGAAATAGCATGGGGCAGTCCCATGGACCTTTCCTCCAGTTTCCGCAAGTGGTTCCAGCTGACTGGTGCCTCTAAGGACAGCCCGGGTTTGGCAAGTCTCTGCTCTCCTCAGCCTGGTGGCACTAGACGATATGATCAGGCAATGAGTCTTTTTCTTTTTTTTTTTTTTTTTTAGGGAGAGAGGGACAAACATCAATTTGTTGTACTTATTTATGCACTCATGAGTTGCTTCTTGTGTGTACCCTGACGGCAGAGAGGGGAATGGGGGGGTTGGGGGAGCTGGGAGGAGCACCTACAACCTTGGCGTATTGGGACAGTGCTCTAACCAGCCGGGCCACCCAGCCAGGGCTGGGTGATAAAGTTCTTGTCCTTCTTTTGCCATCATCTTGTTGTTTTGCAGGCATTTAACTCACCTCAGTCTGGATTTCTTTGTAAAATAAGTCAGTTGCACAGCCTGATTTTTTTTTTTAATGTGATTGGTTAGTGGAAAGCGCAGCCACCCAGTTGGAAGACAGACTCGGTCAACCTCTGACTGAGCAGTGGGCCTTTGTCATTTTCTTCCTCACCTTATATGGGACAAATGGAAAGATCTTAAAACAAATGTTTCTAAGGTAATTAAAAAGAATAGTAAGAATAATGTAGAGTTGATTGACTTAGAGCTGAAAGCTCAATAGAATGCAAGGAACATCAAAAATACGAGGGCAGCCCAGGCTGGTGTGGCTCAGGGGATTGAGTGCAGGCCTGCGAGCCAAAGGGTTGCTGGTTCGATTCCCACTCCAGGTGCATGCCTGGGTTGCAGGCCAGGTTCCCGGTTGGGGGCGTGCGGGAGGCAACCACACATTAATGTTTACCTCCCTCTCTTTCTCCTTCCCTCCCCTTCTCTCTAAAAATAAATAAAATATTTAAAAAATTTAAAAATACAAGGACATATGGAAGGCACATAGAACTATTTCCTATTAAAGACATTCACATGGAAGTCTAAGGCACCTGCAGATTTTAAATGGGACAGAATGATTTTAGAAAGTGGAATTAAAATGACTACTAAGATGCTTATTACTGTTAGTGATGAGTCCAGTAAATTGTCATGGAGAGCTTGTTATGCATAAATCTATTATTTGCAGTTACTGTGGTCTTTGCTAGAAATTGCAAGTCTTATTTCTGAAATTTATGGAGATGAAGAGCACTGTCAGTTTTTGTATTAAATTGTCTCAAAGGCACATGGCCAGATATTTATGATGAACCCAAATGAAATGACCAGAGTTAGTGGAGGAAGGTGGGTCAGGGCCGGATGCGTGTGGACGGATGAGGTTCCAGCTTATGGGACTTGCACCGGGGAAGAGCTTCCCTCCGAGCCCACTGCCCTGTCCTGTCTCAGCCGCTCACGGGAGCGAATTGTTGTTCAGCCTAAGTTCCGCATTCCCCATGGCCGCCTTAGATTTTTATTTCCTTTGATTTAGTGGCAAGCCTGGAATCCTCTGCCTTGCTCGCGTGGTTTTCTGCTGCACAGGCTTCAGAATCGGGAGCCCATTCTGCCAAACTGGATTATTTTAAGAGATGAGTACAGTACGACAATACTTTGTGCTCACTCAAAAACCAAACCAAACCAAACAAAACAACAACAACAAAAAACCCGGAAAAGGCTGAGAATTATAAAGTAATACAGAAAGGGTCAGTGCTCTCGTGTGTGATAAAGTCAGCCCAGTTAACGCATACTTACAGAGGTTTGTGGGGTTTTTCCTTCCCCTGGTCCGTCCGCACCGCTGAGCTCATGCCCGATGGCTCTCCTCTAATGCCCTCCCTTGGTGTTCCTTCGAAGCTTTGCGAACCGAGGGCCGTCGCCTCTGGATCTTCACTTGGGCATGTTCCTGCCCACCCTGCTGCACCAGGCAACTGCAGAACAGCAGGAGCGCTTCTTCATGCCCGCCTGGAACTTGGAGGTCATTGGCACTTACGCCCAGACAGAGATGGGTCATGGTATGGTGCATTCAGTCTACCTTCTGGGTCGGGCGGGGCGTTGCAGGCTTAGCACGCACGGAGTGCCCGCCACATGTTCGCGATGGCAATGCTGCGTGCCGTGTGTGAGCTGTTTAAATGCAGCTTCTCTGCAGAAGCCAGGTTTTTCGACATACAACTCTTGGCAAAATCATTGCTTTGGTCGGGTGAAAATGAAACGTTACATTATCAAGATACATGCTGATTTTAAAAATTAAATTGGTTCCCCTTCAGAAGGTCAAGAAATACAAGTGGGGCCTTACTAAGTGGTTTTCCAAGCTCCTAAAGTTGCGTAGAACATGCGTGCGTACAGAGTCCGACCCCATCCTTTTTTCTTCATTGCTGGCTGAATACCTTTACTGCTGATCCATTAGTGAACTCACACCACCAGTTCCAGAAGAAATACAGATTTGTAGTATGTGTGCTCTTTGATTTGGTGATGAGAAATTAGTGGCTTATTTAGCCAAAACGTGCAGCATTTTATACCTGGAAGTGTTCGTGCCTGAATCAGTACAGGCGGTCAAGCTCTGCAGGTGGCTGAGCCAGGGGTCAAAAGCGGACGGTGAGCCGTGGCTCCAGGCAGCCGGCCCCACTCCGTGTGCACCATCTTTTTCCTTTCCGTCCCCTCCTGCCTTTGCAGTCTGTTCCGAATTCGAGCCTGTGCTTGTCATTTATCTGCTTTGGCTTCTCTTTTTCTCCTCCTCAGTTTCAAGACAGCTGGTCTAATGTGTAGTTGCCATTTCCTCCTTACATCTCAGGGACTTCATTCTCATTTTATAGCTGCTTTGGCTTTTAGCTAGTTTTCCGGACTCAGTGGACTACCATTTTAAATGCTTCGTTTGTGCATTTAAAAACGTTTTGTCATAATCTGTTCTGTGAATGTTATCTTGTTTTCTTGAAAAACTGCTTCTTTGGTAAAAGGACTTCAAAGTGTCTGTTTCCTTGACGCCCACCTGGGCAGGTTGTTGGTTGCATGTGAATGGGCCTTCCTTAGCTGCTGGTCACCTGGTTTCAGAGCTTGAGTGCCCAGTGAGATTTGTGTTGGAATGTAAACCACAACTCCCGTCCCTCTTCCATAAACAAGAAACTGGGACTGCTTCCTGGCCCCACTCACCCACCAGCCAGGAAGTCACTGTTCCAGGTCTTTTCCCCTGGGATGATCACTCCTTTTTAAGATCTTGTTTTCCGTTCTAGCAACCGTGCTGAAATAAATTCCCCATTTACAAGGCCTCTCACTGGAGTCTCTCTCTGCCGCATGTCATCTTATTCTTGTAGTGGGTGTGGAAACACAATCGTAGGGGTTGAAATCGGCACGCTCCCAACTCAGAGATGGGTGTAAACGGGCCGCTAGCTCTCTGTGAAAGTCTCCTGTGCTCTTACGGAACTGTGGCTCCATGCCGCCTTCCCATTTTCTATTGGTGGATCTAAGTAAATATCACCTGATGTAAGTGCAGGAAATGACGGATCTCAGTTATCAACCATTTGTAAATGGTTGATAAGAATCATTTCTCATCGACTCATCAAAAAACATTTTACTGTTGTCAGGTTGTTATTCTCTGAGACATTAGACCTTAAAGCAGGGGTGTCAAACTCATTTTCACCAGGGGCCACATCAGTCTCCCAGTTGCCTTCAAAGGGCTGAATATAATTTCAGCTCCTTAGCAGTTAAGTAGTGACATTGACACAGTCCTAAAATTATTCAGCGCCTTGAGGGCCACCACGGGGCTGATGTGGCCCCTGGTGAAAATGAGAATTTGACACCCCTGCCTCAAAGAACTGGACAGGACATTTTGCCCTGTACCTGTTTTTCCCCATATTCTGTCTGAAGTCAGTGTAATTCATTTCCTTAGGAACTCATCTTCGAGGTTTGGAAACCACAGCCACTTATGACCCGGAAACCCAGGAGTTTGTTCTCAATAGTCCAACTGTGACCTCCATCAAGTGGTGGCCTGGTGGACGTAAGTGAATTTTTTTTACAGTTTTGGATTTTTTGAAGATTTATTATAAGATCATGTTTAGGATGTAGGGCTTATATGAGAATATAATTTTACAGGGGTTAAACTGTCCTAAGCTATTCAGTAGTTCACGGTCCCTTGTGGTGCGTATTTCAGGCATGCGGATGTTTGACAGAGCGCAGGAAGGACAGCCATCTCCTTCCACTTGTGTTAGTTTTTGTCCGCACGTTTCCACGTCTTAGCAGGTTCCCACAGTCGTCATTTAAAGTGACTTGTATTCTCTGTTGGTCATTTCTGTATGGAAAACATTTGAGTTTTATTTCCAGATTTTTATCAGGAGAATAAGTTTGACATGGAACTTATTTAATACCTTGCATTCTGAGTCATCGTCTCAGGGTGTATATTTCAGACGATGTTAGTTAGCGCATGAGGATTTTGTTACTCACATTATGTGTTTTAATTGTGCCATTACATTTTCATGAGGAAAACCAGCTCAGAGAAGACCGACGTTTCTGGGTGTACTGACCAACATCAGCTCGCGCACAGCGCTCTCTGCAGTGGCGGCAGCGCTCTCTCCTCTGCTGCTCAGTGTAGTAGCCACTGGCCACGTCCACCTGCTGAGCACTTGAAATGTAGCCGGCTGACTAGGGAAGCGAATCTTTTATTTAATTACAATTAATTTAAACGTAAATAGCCGTATGTGGCTTGTCGCTACTGTTTTGGAAAGCACTCCCTTAGGGAGAAAAAGGAGGTAATTTAATTTAATGTTCTTGCACTTATCCTATAAATGTTTTATGTGAATGAGTAGGAAAGAGAGTAGAGCTGTCTCCCAAAATGGGTCGCTATTGAATCAGCATGCTGTACACCTTGAATTTACCCAGTGTTCTGTGTCAGTTATCCCATTAGGATCTCTTTGCCAACATCCCGCAAGTTTTAATAACTGTCCGCTAAGTGGGCTCACTTCTGAAAACCAGGCGTAGCGCTGCCCTGAGACGGGCTGTCTGTGGGCCGTTTACTGATGGAGTCCAGCGCTCTAGTTAATGGATGTTCTTCCCCTTGTTTGAACCTGCAAGGACGGTTGCTCACTTCTCTCTCTCTCTTTTCTTTGATGTTGCAGTTGGAAAGACTTCGAGTCATGCGATAGTGCTTGCCCAGCTGTACACCAAGGGCAAATGCTATGGATTACATGCTTTCATTGTACCCATTAGAGAACTTGGAACCCACAAGCCTTTGCCAGGTTAGAATCGTTCAGATGCCATTGGGGAGAAAACTTAAACTGAGCACTTTTCTTCTGCAAAACATGTAACACACAACTAAAGGGGAGTGGGACAGTCGGGGGTTCTGGAGCACAAACACCTGGTGGCTTTCCTTTCTTCTGAGGTAGGCATCACAGTTGGAGACATTGGCCCCAAATTTGGCTATGATGAGATGGATAATGGCTACCTGAAGATGGACCATTACCGTATCCCCAGGGAAAACATGCTGATGAAGTACGCCCAGGTATGTTAGCGCAGGCGCGGGGGTGGAGGTGTCAAGCTCAGGGGTTACTGAGGCCACTGATAAGCATAAGGCCAAGAGGGGCTGTCTCTGGAAGGTCATAGTGTAGTTTTACCTCTGGTGCTTCTTCTATGGTGACGGTGAAACCAGAGGCCATGGGCAGGAGCAGAGAGCACAGTCTAGTATGCCAGACCGGTGCTCTCAAACTCCAGAGCAAGTTAGGATCACCTGGAGGGTTGGCTGAAGTCCAGATTTCTTGGCTCTGTCTTTAATTTAATAGGTCAGTGTGGGGACTGAGATTTTTAAAAAGATTTTATTTATTCATTTTTAGAGAGGGGGAGGGAGGGAGAAGCACAGATTGGTTGTTTTCTGTACATACCCTGACTGGGTCCCAAACCTGCCACCCAAGCATGTGCCCTGGTCTGGAATTGAACCCGTGACCTTTTGCTTTGTGGGATGATGCCCAACACACTGAGCCACGCTGGTCAAGGTAGGACTGAGATCTTATATTTCAAACGAGTTCTGGGGCAAAGCCAATGCTGCTGCTCTGGCGACCACACTTTGAGAACCACGGGCCTGAACTGTGTCATGGGTTTAACAGAAGGAAGCATCAGTCCCATGTTCTTTTTCCAGGTGAAGCCTGATGGCACCTACGTGAAACCTGTGAGTAACAAGCTGACCTACGGGACCATGGTGTTTGTTAGGTCCTTCCTCGTGGGGGAATCTGCTCGCTCTCTGGCTAAGGCGTGTACCATCGCCATCCGATACAGCGCCGTGAGGCGCCAGTCTGAAATCAAGCCCAGGTAAGGGTGGGCTCTGAGGTGGGCGCATTACGGGAGACCTGGCTTGGAGCCCATTCAAATATCAGTTACCCAGATACGGCACAGGGAAGCCGCGTCGGCTGTGAGATCAGCTGAGGCGGCAATGTGCTGGGCCCGCTACTTAGAACCTGGGCTTCCTCTCCGTAAGTGGAAAGATGAGAATGCCGCCTTCTTATTTTTAACCTTCTAAGTAAAACAGTAATGGTATTTGAGCTCTGTACACGAGACGTTCAAAGCATTGCAACTACAAGTTGGGCGTGGTAAAAGTAACAGTAAACTTATTTTTTTAAAGAAGTATGTGTCTATCATTTTACCCTTTCTTTTTAAAGATTTTATTTGTTTGTTAGAGAGTGGGGAAGGGAAGGAGAAAGGGAGAAACATCAATGTGTGAGAGAAATATCAGTTGGTTGCTTCTTGCACACCACCAACTGGGGACCGAGCCTGCAACCCAGGCATGTGCCCTGACTGGGAATTGAACAGGTGACATCTCAGTTCTCAGATCCACTGAGTCACAGAAGCGAGGGCAATGACATTAAATTTGATTCCCTGGTGTGTTCGTGCCCATAGCTCACTCCTACTACTGCCTTGATCAGGGATTGAACCAACCTTGGTGTATCAGGATGACATTCTAAACAACTACCCAGCCAGGGTAACTCTTTTACTCTTAAAGAAGGAATAAAATTGATAAGAGCAGATCATAGTCTTTAGATATTTAACTCTGTGCATTGGGTCTTCTCCATAATGGTGGTAAAAATATATCAGTAATGTATTCAGCCATCTAATTAGTGGGTTAGATATTTTTAACATTGTCTTTTGCCCTGGCTGGTGTGGCTCATTGAATTGAGTGCCAGCCTGTGAACTGAAAGGTCGCCAGTTTGATTCCCAGTCAGCGCATATGCCTGGGTTATGGGCCAGGTCCCCAGATCAGGGCATGTGAGAGGCAACCGATGTTTCTCTCATCCCCTCTCTATAAAATAAGTAAAATCTTTAAATTAAAAAAAACAAAACAAAACATTATCTTCCTCCTATAAAGTTAACTAACTTTGATTTTCTAAATTGCCACAAAACATAGTTTCCTTAGTCATACTGGAAAGACAAAGAAAGAAATGAACTTCACAGCCAGAAACGACTGTCCACCTGAGACAGCTTAGTGAGGTGGTCAAGGGCGTCTTCTGCAGCCAAGGAGCCTCACTGTGGCTCTAGCACCTGCCAGCTACTGGCTGCATGAGCGCCGGCAGGGTCTGCGTGAGGATTAAAGAAGTTCACGTGCCAACATGCTCAGACTAGACCCTGGCACAGAGTAAGTTCTGTTCGTGTGTTAAATTTTCTTTCTTTCTTTTGTTTTCTTTCTTTCTTTTTTTTTTTTTTTTTGTATATCCATAGTGAGCCGGAACCACAGATTCTGGATTTTCAGACCCAGCAGTACAAACTCTTTCCGCTGCTGGCCACCGCCTATGCCTTCCATTTCGTAGGCAAATACATGAAGGAGACCTACCATCGGATCAATGAAGGCATCGGCCAGGGGGACCTGAGCGAGCTGCCCGAGGTACAGGTGGAGTCCCGGTCCCGTGTGGGTGCCCTTCTCTCTCATGTTTACCTGCCAGTAGTGTCCAAAGGGAATGACACACTGGGGTTTCTCGGACAGTCCCTGTAGTCTCAAAAGACCCAGAAGTTTTTCTGATTGAAAACGGATTAGGTATGAGGATGTGCGGGTGTTACCTCTAAGTTTCAGAAGTGTGGGTCATTTGTTAATCCAGGGAACGTGAGGGTGGCTCTCTGCCAAGGAGGCCAGGTCAGTGGGGCCTGTGCAGTGGCCGTGCTGCTGCAGTTTCAGCGATTCTGGAAGTGAGCCGCGCTGGTAGAGTGGTTTTGAGTTTCTTGTGACGCAGCCTGTCAGTGCACAGGCGTTCTGACAGCCCGGGCTTCCCCTTCAGCTTCACGCGCTCACCGCCGGGCTGAAAGCCTTCACCTCCTGGACCACAAATTCCGCCATCGAGGCCTGTCGGATGGCTTGTGGCGGGCACGGCTATTCGCACTGCAGCGGGCTTCCCAACATTTACGTCACCTTCACCCCGACCTGCACCTTTGAGGGAGAGAACACTGTCATGATGCTGCAGACGGCCAGGTGAGGGTCTTAGTTCAAGATTGCTGTTACCTGTTAGTTAGGCCGTTCGGACCCTGTTCCTCAGCTCCTGTTGCTATGTTTTCTGCACATGACATTTGTTCCTTAAGATGCCATCCTGCCTTCTGCCGTGACCCACTGTTTTCCTCATGATCTGGCTAGTGAGGGTGGGCCATCTGTCATAACCTAAAGCCTTTTGAAGATTGTTTTATTTCTGTTTTATAAGAAGCAAAGTTACTGAAAGCACGTGTACCGTTGATTCTTAGGTTCCTGATGAAAAGTTATGAGCAGGCGCAGTCGGGGAAGTTGGTGTGCGGCATGGTGTCCTACCTGAATGACCTGCCCAGCCAGCGCATCCAGCCACAGCAGGTAGCAGTCTGGCCAGCCTCAGTGGACATCTGCAGCCCCGACAGCCTCACCGAGGCGTACAAACTCCGTGCGGCCAGGTGAGCTCCCCCCAGGGCTGGGGTGGCCGCTGTGGGGGCCTCGGGCGAGGGCCTGCTGATGGAAGAGGATGAAGGCGTGAGCGCCCCTGATCATTTGCTCCCAGCTCCAGCTTTCTTTCACTCTTAACAGATTAGTAGAAATTGCTGCGAAAAACCTTCAGACTGAAGTGAGTCACAGAAAAAGCAAGGAAGTAGCGTGGAACCTGACTTCCATCGACCTCGTCCGAGCAAGCGAGGTCAGTGGTGGGTCTCTCTCTGTCTCCCTTGCTGCAGGCTTGAAGCCACCGCCCACCCTCGATTTGGGAGGGCAGAAACCCTGGCGCTGCGTGGGGGATCTTTTTCAAAGGCCTCACGATCTGCTGCTTCCTTTCTTCTAGGCGCATTGCCACTATGTGGTAGTTAAGCTCTTTACAGAACAGCTCCTCAAAATTCAAGATAAATCCATTCAAACTGTCTTAAGGAATTTGTGTCTCTTGTATTCTCTGTATGGAATCAGTCAGAAAGCAGGGGATTTTCTTCAGGTCAGTATTTTCCTAAGTTGAAGTTTTGTTTTTTTGGTAGAAAAATAATTGGTCTGCTTTGTGCACTTACAAAGGTGTACCTGTGTATAATACGTTTGTCTGTCTAGATACAGGGGTAGTTTGTAGTTGTAGTAGGTTCACAGCTGTTCGTACGGAAAACAGGGGTACAGGTTATAATGACTTAGCTTTCTTAATTCAAATGTCACAGCACAACTGTGAGCCGAGTTGTGGCCATGCCTGTACAGACGTGTGTATCATTTGCTTGTCTCGCTTCTTCCAGGAGAACATCCTGACAGGCTCGCAGATCACCCAGGTGCACCAGCGCGTCAAGGAGCTGCTGACTGTCATTCGCCCGGATGCTGTTGCTTTGGTCGATGCGTTTGATTTCCAGGATGTGTCGCTGGGCTCTGTGCTTGGCCGCTATGACGGGAATGTGTATGAGAACTTGTTTGAGTGGGCCAAGTCTTCCCCGCTGAACAAATCGGAGGTAGAAAACAATGTCTTTTCTTTCTTTTAAACTCTCGACGGAGATACTAAGACCGGAAAGACCTCTGAGCATGGTCCAGCTGTACAAACTATGAACACTTGCCCTGGAGTCACTTGGCTCGGGCAGCAGGCTCGGAGGGAACTGGGTCGTTCCCTCACTAAGCAGTTGTTTTGTTCCCTGACTGGTCACTCATTGGGATGTTCAGAGGCACAAACAGGACGCATGGCTCAGCCACACGAGCCCCTCTTAGGCTTCAGTGCCTGTCTGTCCACAGCGCCTGTCGGCAGTCCCCACCCTCTCCTCCTGAGGGTTATTTCAGAAACTCCACGATCATTGTACCCATGGATATTTCGGTGTGTATCTCTAAAAGATAAGGGTTCTTTTTAGAAACATAACCATAATACCATTCTCAGGCCTAAACACATTGATAATTCTTTAATATCGTGAACTTACTCAGTGTCCAGATTTTCCCAGTCGGCTCAGTTCAGTTTTTTCACCTCTTCAATTTCTTCAGGTCAGGATCCAAAAAGGGTCCTGATAATTTCTTGGTTAAAAGTGTGCTCTTCTACACTGCAAGCTCCTTCCCAGTCACTGCCTCTCTCCCTTCCCTGCAGGTCCACGAGTCCTACTACAAGTACCTGAAGCCCCTGCAGTCCAAGCTGTGAGCCCAGCAGCGAGTTTACTCTGCTCCAGAGAGCAGCTGGCCTCCTCCACTCGCAGCACGTCACACAGATCTGCGCAGAATCTTTATCGGATCAGAGCTGTCGGGCGAACGATAAATTGACCCTTTTCCTCTATAAATGAAGAAAAAAATGAACAGTTTTCAGATTAAATGAAAGAACAACTGTGTCTTAAGTGCAATTAACATTGAAAGAGGCCTGTTAAGCATTCAGCAAAAAACTTAAAGTGCAGTATGTCTTCCCTTTGCTACGCCCCTGGTCCCAGTAGGCCAAAATGTTGACAATTTGTAGAATTTAACTACTAAGTAGTTAATGATTTCACATATTAATTGCTAATCACTGGATATATGTGTTTTTAAGCAAAGGTATTTTTAAAGTGGGGTAGAACCCTTCTAAGCTTTCGGCTAAATACCCTACTGCTCCCACACAGGCCCTGGCTTAAAAGCAGGACTGAAGAAAACGGGTTGGGGGAATGGACTAATCAGGAATTCGGTGTGGGCGGTTTGTGCCTGGCACACGCCTGCCGGCTCGCTCCGGTCGCGGACGTGGTGTTTTCATTTGTCCGTAGAAGCATCTCTCCAGCACGAGGATTTCTTCAGCAAGATCACTGTCCTGTGTGACTGAGCATTAATCTTTCATTTGAAGGATCCTTCAATTGTCACTGTAGGAATAGTAACACTGCAACTCCCTTCGTCCTCAGCTTCTTGGGGAGAGGTAGGTAGCAAAGTTATGAACACATAGGACGTTTGACGACCGCTGGGACTTCAGTCAGTGGTGTTTGAGCCCCCCCTCCCTTAACCTCCTGAAAAGAGGCGCTGAGGAACGGAGACCGAAGTCACAGGTCCTCCTGGGAGAGGAGTCAGGGGGGCTCGCAGGTGCGCTCGCTGCAACTAGTGGCCCTGTTGGTGGCCTGGGACAATCCAGATCTCATGTCGGAGTTCTGTCGTTTCGGCCCAGACCATTAAACAGCTCGGAGGTGACAGTGCCCGGTGTGATGCAAGTAGCAGAGTCACTCAGGTTACTGTCACACCCAGCAGTAGCACAGAAAGGTCGCTTGCAAACCACGCGTTCTGATCTTTGGATTGGAAAATGCAGTGGAAACTATAAAACAGAAGTTCCATAGACTCTACTATATATCTGGCTTTATTTTCAGTATGTTTCTAGGGGCTTTATCTGAATTGCCGAATTGTCCTTTCAGCTGAAATCTAATGAACACAATCATACAAGGTAAACGTACCTCTTAACAAAGTTTATTCTTAAAATCAGTGTAAACCAGCATGTCCTTGATTTCTTTTTTAACCTGTACCTGTGACATCTGCCTCCTGAGGCCCGTTGTTCTGGAGTCAGTCTCGTGAACATGGTGTCATTCAGCAGAAATGCACTTCCTGTCGTGGTGCCTGACATACAGTCTGTCCCAGCGGAACTGGTAACCTGAGATTTTCAGTCTGGCAGAAATACTTTCTGTTGACACAAGCCTTAATCTTTTCACCAGGAGAGTAAATTGATCATTGTGTTAAGGTTGAAGTATAAAAAAGCACTATGTTAACGTCATTGGGGTTCATCTTAACGGTAGTTCAGGTTCTGGGAAATAGTGGATTTAAATTGCTTAATATCTGTTAAATGTAGAATTGTTTCAAAATTAGTATTTAAATACCTTACAGATGAATATCTGTAATCACGATCTGAGGGTGTTTGAAATGACATGAACCTAATAAAAAACTAAATTTGATATTCGATACTATTTTTTATTAATACTGGAATGTTTTGTCTTAAACTTCATTCACTGTAATCAAAGAATAAAGATGTAGGAAAAGCTCAGTAATTTGTACTATCCAGGGAAAAACCACAATGAGATACCCCCTCTCACCTGTCGGAATTGCCATCATTAATAAATCAACCGTGAGTGCTGGTGAGCACACAAAGAAAAGGGAGCCTAGTGCACTGTTGGTGGGCGTGCAGACGGGTGCAGCCACTGTGGAAAACTATGGAATCTCAGAAAACTCAGAAAATCTCAGTAAAAATGGAACTGCCTTTGGACCTGGCAATTCCACTGCTGGGAATATACCGAGTCCTGAAACACCAAAAGAACCTATGCACCCCAGTGTTCACCGTAGCACAATTTACAATAGCCAAGTGCTGGAAACAGCCTAAGTGCCCACCAGTAAATGAGTGGATCAAAAAACTGTTACATTTACAGGATGGAATACTATGCAGCAGAAAGAAGGAACTCCTACCTGTTTGAACAGCTTGGATGGAATCGGACATTTAACACTAAGTGAAATAAGCCAGACGGTAAAAGACAGATACAGGATGACTGCACTTATAACTGGAATTTAATAAACAAAATAAGAAAAGTTGAACCAGAGACGTGGAAACAAGGAACAGACTGATAGCTGGAGGAGGGAGAAGGGAACAGTGGAAGGAAGGGGAAGGGACCATGCAAAGAACATGTGTGAGTGACGCGTGGACGTGGACAATGGGACTGACTGGGAGACGGGCTGGGTGGAAGGGGACAAAAGGGAAAAAACTGGAACAACTGTAATAGAATAAACAAGAAAATAAAGTAGAAAAAAGGGGAGGAGTGTACCACATAATTAAACCTAAATTCAAATTATGAAGGATCTGAAGACAGTTTCTTAGGTTTGGGTGTCACTAAGGACGAAAATAGAAAGGAGTGAGACCTGCCCGAACCCATAGCACCAAAACCTGCTGGAATTGCAGTCGCCTCGGAGCCACGTGACCTGGTTGATGCAGGAGAACTTGCTGACCCCTGAAAAGGAAGCGGCAGATTAGCTGGCTGTCCCTCAGCAGCCAGCCTTTGCCATAGATAAATTAGGTTCTGTTGGGTCCTTCAGTGAGCTGTTTCTGGAGAGTACAAAGGTAAACTTCAACGTAGTGTCTCCTCCAAAATAATGATAAAGACTGAGTGGAATTAATAAGATTTCTCTACTACATGATACTGAGATGAGCCTTTTAAAAAAAGTACTCTGAACAGTACTCAAAGCGGAAAGTTTGTGGTTTGTTAGGGATGCTGTCTCTGTTTTACGCTGTTAGATACGTGCTGAGGTGTTTGAACGTTAGTCACCTCCAAACACTTGTCCCAAAGCTTTGGGGTCCTTCCTGCCCTTGTTCTTAGAACAAACACTGCTCAAGTATTAGTTTATTTCCAAACACTTGAATTACAACATTAACTGTTAACACACTTTGTGAGGACTCACTGCCTGTAATTTCAGAATTTGTATATCTGGAGATATTTTGTAATTCCTGAAGTTAACATGTTAGATCTTAATCCTTGGCTCTTTTTTAATAATGGTTCAAGTTCACGATCCTAGAATTCTCTGGAGAGTGCTGCTTAGTCCCACCTCTTTTCTGAGTTCTTTCTATCTTACTAGGAAGGAAGAGAATAGATGCAGGTGGATTGTAACAAATGCTGATCTTTCTACACCTGTGGAAGATAGTCCTGGAGCTACAGGTTGTCTTCCAGCAGCCGCTGCTTCTGCAGTCGGAGAGAGGACCAGAGCCGGGAAACAGATTATTCACCAGAGACCAGGACTCTTGTTGATTCTCCTGACTGGTACAGGCTTTGATCATTTTCATGAAAAATGCAGAGACCATCCCAGCTAATTGAGTATTTATTACTCCATTCTTGGAGGGTTAGACCAAGTCATATGTAAATGACTAAAATGATTTTTCATTTTAAAATGTTGGAAGTGGAGTTTTGCCTTTAGCTGTACATACTTACTGAATTTTCAGTAACTATTCCTGTGGTCCATGATAGTGAACATAGAAACATATAAGGAATCTTTGGACCTTAGTTACCAGATGTTAGCAGTTGCGGATTCGCAAATTCCTAGATTCCGGCGCCGGGGAGGGAGGCGGGGTGGCGGGCGGTGGCGGGGGGGGGGGGGTGGGGGTAATGCTTTAGATTTTGCCTTGAATTTCAGTGAGCCATTCATAATCTCAGGAGGATCATGGTAAATTTGGAAATGATTTCACAAACTCTGAACCCAAGTAAGTTGTTTTTGCTACAATACTGTGGACTGTTTCATAGATTAGGTATCTGTGATCTTTCCTCCACAGTAGTCAGATTGCTGGCTACTACGTTGTAAACGCCATTTTATTCACAATTGCTGTGCATTCAAGGGTAGGACTTGTATCTTTTGGAGTGTATAGTTATGTTGCCGCCTTTTCTTCTTTTACTGTTGTGGTTTGAGTTTGGTTCCGACCTGACAAGATGCAGTTAGGTGCGTAACTACCCTTCCCTGGCTGGACTTGTCAGCGGGGTGGGAATGCGAGAGGGTGCAGGGGTCCATGGCGAGTCACTCTGGGTTAGACGGTGGTGACCAAGCAGCACTGCTTGGCCTGCGGTTAAGCCAAACCACTAACCCTTTTTCCCTTTGCAAAATTGAAAGACCCTTAATAAAATCTATACTTAACACAAAAATGTGTTATGTCTTTATTGGTGATGGTGTTGGGTTTCATGCTGACTTTGATTTTTGAAGAAAAATCCAAGATTTTTCTTCACTGAACAAGAAGGTCGCGGCCCCTTCGCTAAGCTTTAGAATGTGGGATAAATGCGTAATTATGGTTTGACGTGTCAATCTTTCAATCTTAACACATTCCTCCCACCCTCCCCGTCACGAGAGGCACCTCCCCGTCAGCCCTCAGAAGAGTACTCGGTCTTGGAGCCGTGGCCTCCAAGGAATGGCAGGAGGAAAAAGGCTCGTACATACCGTGGAGCAAGAAGTACTCCCCTTCCCCAAGTGGCGTTCCTGCGGCTCCTAGCAACACTCGGAGCCGCGGTCGAGGCTAGTTCTGGACTAACAACCGCTGCGGGGAGCTCTGGGAAGTGTAGTTTATTTTGGCGTCCTCTGCTCCCTTGGCTTCAGCAGGTGAGCGGGGCGAGGACTACAACTCCCAGGATGCATCGCGTCTCACCTTTGGCGGCCGGGTGACTGGGAGGTGGGCTGACGCTGGTCAAGGAAGCGGGAGGCTTGACCGAGCTGGGCTCCAGGGCATCGCGGGCCCGCGGCGATGTCTCTGATGAGTCCCAGCGGTTGCGTCTCTGAAGGGAATGGCGCGTAACCCGGGGTATTTCAGGGGCTGGGAGGATCGTAAGCTGCGCGGCGGCCGAGAGGGGCTGGGCCCGCGGAAGGGTACGGCGTGGAGGGGCGTAGGGGCCTAGGACTGAGGAGTACCCGCTAAGGGGCGGGCGCAGGATTTTAAAGTGACTGGCCGGGAGTCGGCTGAGCAGACGCGAGGACTCGATGGAACTTGAGGCCCCAGAGCTTCTATGAGAGCGTCTCGCGATCTGGGAGGCAGGCACACGACCCACGGGGTTGGGGGGGTGTGTGTGACCGGAAGTTCCTGGACGTCCCGTGAGGCCCAGCAGGTTGGCACTTCGAGGTCGTGCAAATGCCGTTACAGAGAATGACAAACACGAACATTCAGGCCCCTGTGTGTAACCCCAGAGAATCTTGGCATTCTCAGAACAGGACAGGCCAACACCAAGGAAACAGACAACCCGCCCCGATTCCCTTCTTCCAAGGCCGGTTAAGGAAATTAACAGTCTCTAGTGACATGGACGGGGGTCGAGTGGCAGAGAGTGATAACTCGGAAGCAAACAGTTCTCTGTTAATGGGACTACTCGGATTTATAGTTAGTGTGAAAAAAGAAACTTAACAGCGTCAGTGGAAATATGCACGGCCAAGGAGTAGCTGGCACTCAGCTCCGCTATTTGTGCTGAACGCGGCCTGGAAATGAGGCGCAGCGTTGCCTGGGAAGGTGTGGGGGCCGTAGTGCCAGGCACTTCCTCTCCGAGATGGGAACCTGGCGTCCCACCACCACCACCACCACCACCTCCCACCCTCTTTTCGAGGAGCACTGCTGTTTATTCGCGGAATGCCCAGGCCTCCGAACGCTCACCGAACTGCTCACACCACTTTGCTTCTCATCTGAATTGCTCCCCGATAAGGAATTTTTTATTTAGGGAAATGGGTTGTGACCTCTTGAATGAGTGAAGTGAGAGAAGCCTTTATGGGCCTTGGACTCAAGTACGGCTCAGGCCCCATCATTTTAAAGCAATCCCTTCTCTTCACCAGGGAGCAGGAGCCTGTTGTGGGCAGAATTCAGATGAGCTGGACCCTGCTGCAAGCAGCGCCCCCAGGAGCCTGGAGATGGTGAGTAAGATGCTTGGAAATGTGAACCAGCCCTCAACACCCAGATCTTGACTGCGGGGAGTGCTGTGGGACCAGGGTGTGGTTCCTGGACAAGGGTGGCAGAAGTAACATTGGTAGTGAACTTCATGCATTTCTTTCGAGCCTCTCTGAATGTCCAGCTGGAAGCATTTTTAAGTCTGTTGCTGGCATTGAGGTGGGGATATGGGATATAGGAATACATTCCCAGTCATGCTACATCTGGCTGGGAGGGTTTGTGTGTCATCTGGAATTCAGGGAAAATGAGAGACTTCTGTCCCCAGTGGGGATGGTGGTGGGGACCAACAGTGGCATCCTCTGTTGGCCAAAGCTCTTGCCACTTTTTGAATGAGTCTATTCTCAGAAACTCAGGGGAAGCATGAATGGCTTCTGTCTCTAAATGCCATCCGCATGCCTTTTACCACTGGTGACTTGGCAAAAGGCAAAACAATTCATTGTGCGTTCTCAGTTTCAATATACGTCATTGTTTGATTTCATTAGAGTGATGTGTTTTTCTTATTTTAGGCACCAAAGACCAAGAAGGGATTGAAAGGTGAGTGGAGAGATTGAATATCACCCTTAAACCAAAAATAATCCCCCTGCCTTGGGTCCATGTCTGTGACTGAATGTGCCTGGTGGTTTCCCCTAATTCCTTAGGCAGTTTTGGTTTTTTAGAGGACTCCTTATGCTGCCTCATTGGCCCTTAGAGCAATTCAGAAGTAAACAAGGGATGGGACTTGGGAAGAAAACCCTTTTCTCTGGCTCTGTACCAAGAAGTACGCAGTGTGAAGGGTGGTGAAGGCACTCCAGCTGCACGCGAGAATGAATCCAGTACTCGAACTCTGGTTCCCACGTGCCAGGGAGAAGGGGCCAAGGGAGGGTGCCTCCAGACCAGCTCTGAGGGTCCTCAGATAGAAGGGAATTAGGAGGGTATTGGTAGGAGAGAAGCTTGTATGTGCCTAGAAATCCTGGACACTTTTCCCAGAGAAGCACACTGGGCTTTGTTCGGAGTCTGGAAGATTGGCTCGTTGGCCAGTGTGTCAAACAGAAAGTAGGTTCTACTGAAAATCTTCACCATCTTCACTTGAGCAAGTTGTTTTTTGTTTCTCCCCTGGGGTATTTCTGTAAGGCGATGTGACCTGTTGGGAGGGAGTGAGGAAACATGTCGTGGCTAAGCCTGAGGTCCTGGGAGTGATTTCAAGGTGGGAGGGAGGCTGTGAAAACCATTCCCTCCTCCTGAGGTCATGGCGCTGCCCCTTCTCTTCCAGGCTCCATCGCTGATGTCCTTGGTGACCTCCTGGCGGATGAGAGTAAGTGCCCCTTCCCAGAATCCCCTGATTTAGGCTTGTTGTTTTTTTTAATTGACATATAATTCACATAAAAGTTACTCTTTTAAAGTGTACATTTCAATGGTTTTTACTTATTCATAGAGTCGATTCCAGCACATTTCATCACCCCATAAAGAAATCCCATGCCCATGAGCATTCACTCCCCATTCTCTCCTCTCCCAGCCCCAGGAAACCGCTAATCTACTCCTTTTGCTATGGATTTGCTGCGTCTGGGCAATTTGTATAAAATGGAATCACACAGTATGTGGCTTTTGCATCTGGCTTCTTTCTTTTTTTTTTTTTTTTAAGATTTTATTTATTTATCTTTAGAGGGGAAGAGGGGAAGGAGAGAGGGAGAGAAACATCAATGTACAGTTGCCTTCCATGCATCCCCTGCTGGGAACTGGCCTGCAGGGAACCGGCCTGCAACCCAGGCATGTGCCCTGACTGGGAATCGAACCGCGATCGTGTGGTTTGCAGGCCCGCGCTCAATCCACTGAGCTACACCAGCCAGGGCTTGGCTTCTTTCATTTACCATGTTTTCAAGGTCCCTTTCTTTATTCCTCTCCATGGTTGCGTGATAATTCCATTGCATGGATATGCCATGTTTTGCCTAGGCTATTACAAATAACGGTATTTGAAACACGCGTGCACAGGTTTTTGTGTGCTTTGCGGCTATAAGCCTAGGAGTGGAATTACCGGACTCTGTGGTACCTGTGTTTCACTTTTTGAGAAACCGCCAGTCTACTTTCCACGCCGCTGTCCAGCTTTGCCTTCCCACAGCAGTGTGGGAGAGTTCCGGTTTCTCCGAGTCCTGGTCGATGCTCGTTGTCGTCTGCCTGCTTGATGCTAGCCCTCCTAGTGGGTGAACGGTTGCATCTCATCGTGGATTTGGTGTGCATTTTCCTAGTGACTAAAATGACGTTGAGCACCTATTCATGCATTTATTGGCTATTTATTCTTTTTGGAGAAGGTCTATTCAGATTCTTTGCCCATTTTTTAATTGGTGCATTTTAAGAGTTTCTTATTATTCCGATACCAGTCGCTTGCCCTGTGTGTCCGACTTTGGTGTTCCGAGGAGCAGGGCTTCAGGGTCCTGAAAGGCTCACCGGGGACAGCAGGGCTGAGCTGCCCCACATCTGGCCCAGGAGAACTCACCAAGCGCAGGCCCGTGTGTTCCAGCTGACAGCTTTGGGCCTTGGAAGTGCGTTGTTCTTCCTGCATTTCCGTGGGGGGGGTGGGGAGTGGGTTCTTCTTGTGTCATCATTTGGTCTTTAGGCTTGACTTCCTGCTTGGAAATATACCGTCCTCTCCCCCATTCAGGTTTTCCAGGGGATAACACTGGAGCCCACCTATGGGGCCTATTTCCTTCCTCCATAGGGGTCCTTCTTCCCATAGGAAGTTCTGGTCCACAATTTGGTGGGGACTTGTGGACCTTCTCACATTTACTCCAGTTCTTTGTGGCCGAGTGATATCTTTGCTCTGTTCTTTTTTTTGCAGTGACACCACCTGAGAAGCCTGTTAAACTTGCTTCACATGCCAGAGATAATACAGGCAGAGCCCAGGCGCTCCCTGCTGCAAGGACAAGAGCAAAGTAAGCACAGGCTGGGTGGGTATCCACAACCCAGTTCTGTCCAGATGCCCTGCCTCCCCTCACCCCACTTCGCATTTCCTGTGTGTCCGTGGCTCTCACTGTCAGTGATCTCCCCCCTGGGTGAGGAGAAGGAGGTCGGAACTGGAGGGCAGAAGTCCTGGCTTGCAGTCCTACAGCTGCTACATCCTGTGTGACCTTGGGCAATTCCTGAATCTCAATCTCAATCTCTCTCTCTCTCTCTCTCTCTCTCTCTCTCTCTCTCTCTGAGCCTCAATTTCCTTATCCTCAGAATAAGAGGATTAGCCTAGATTGGTGACGTTCTGGTTGTTTGTTCTAAGGTTCTTGGGACAATTGAGCACTAGGGAGGAGCTTTTTGAATTTTCTATTCCACCTTCATTTTAGCTAACAGAGATCCGTTTTTCTCTCTTACTTGTCATTTTCAACAGTTCAGCTTTAAAGAGGCTCTGTTCCTTTGTTAAAAAGTTAAAAACCCACCGCATTAGGCGACCTGTGAAATTCCTTTTAGCAACTCTGTTCTCCCGGAGAAGAGTGTCCCCCCAAGTTCACTTGGACTCTCTAAACCATCCTTCTTTTCTTAGAATTACCTAGTGCCCTGGGAATGCAGGTGGGTGCTGATGCCGCCCCTTTGCAGGTCCCTCCTGGAGAACGACGCCTACAGCACCATGGCGGACCTGGCGGGAGCTGATGCCGAGGTAAGACTGGTCCCGTTCCTACTCCCTGCCCTCTCTGTTTATCCCCAAGACAGCAGCCAAGGGGCTGCTCACAGAACAGTTTACAAGGCTTCACAAAGCCAGTTTGTTCTTAAAGCAACACAATTCCCAACGGCTGCCGAGTGCCCAAAGCAACATCGTTTTCCTTCCTACCAGTGAGGTGTCCTAGAAGTTAGAGCTCCTGGCAGCTGCTGGAGCCTTGAATGTTGCCCTTGGAACTGTGCTTCCATTATAAACTCCACTGCCGCCCAGTCCCAGGGGTGGGAAGTGGTGTGAGTCCTCTAGGACTCAAAACCGTCCAGCCCAGTGGAAGTGGTCTTTCCGGGTGGGAGGACATGGAAGTGACAGCCCTGTCTGGTCTCTACACCTGGGCAGGTCATCTTCAAACAGCAACCCCACGGGAGGGTGGGACACTCCTGTTGGTGCCCCATGGGCTCCGGCCCTGTCAGAAGCAGCGCTACAAGGGGCCAGAGCCCTGAGCTCGAAAGGCCTTGTCTAACACAGGTCCTTCCCCTCCCTCGGACTTAGGTCTCGGACGTCTCAGAGGCAGACCCGCAGGCTTTGCTCCAGGCCATGAAGGTACCCAAGCAGCTTACACATTCTGGGAGCCCGTGGGCTGGGGTGCTGATATTTTGTGCCAGGCCTTCATTCTCCCTCTAATTTCTCCCTTTAAAGAGTGTGTTTTGAGCCCTTCCTAGAGCAACAGTGGAGCTCATCCATGAGCTATTGCCCTCCGCCCCTCTGGGAATGAGCTGGGTTTCCTGGCTTCAGAGATGCACCTACCTAGAGACACATCAGGCCCCGGCCTCTGGTGACATGGGCCTGCTGCCCCCGGAAACTGCCTGGCGGCGTCACCCTGTGGGAAAGATGAGGAGACTGTCTCTTCTGGAGCTTATTCCTAACCTTTCTCCCTGTCTCTCCCCACACCCCTTGCCCAGTGCCCCTCGGTACAGCTGTCCTTCCACCAGATCAGGCCCCAAGCGAATCTTGGCAATGGAGTTTTAAGACAAATTCTGAAGACTTCCTAATCTCTCAGTGCTCAGGTGGACTGGCCGGAGTCTAAAGCCTCCAGTCACCCTTAGTTCTCCCTCCACCCTCCAGCAGCGCCCTGCTGCCTGACCCGAGCCCCTCTGGCTAACACACGTCTCCCGGTCGGTCTGGGCCAAGGCTGAGCCCTTGCTTTCAGCCCCGTGGGGCCCTGAGGAACTGCAGTCTGTTCCCTTCCCGGCTCCACATTCAGCCTCCCTAACCTCAGCTTGAAGTCGCTCTTTCCCGAGGCAGCCAGCTGGACCTTTAAGGCCTCTGAATCAGATTTTGGTGGTGACTTTGAGTCTCATTTCAGAACCATGAGCTAAGCCCCACCCCCACTCTGCTTGCCTCTGCTTCTGTTCTCTTTCCCAGCTCACTTTTTCTGAGTAGTTTTTCATTTTCCTATGTTTCCTCACAATTCTGCCCCTGGAGTACCAACTGCCCTCCTATGAAAGCCGTCATTTAGTGGGTCTATATGGAGGGCTCGTGGCGGCTCCTGGCTTGGTTCACGTAGCTTTTAATGTCATCACCATCGAACATTCTCCTCACACTCCTGCCTCTACTGGCACTTCGTTTCTCCTGACCCAGGCAGGCGAAGGAATCCAGATTTTTCCGTGACTTCGGACAGAAAGTCTCGTGTCCCTTACGGAGTCTTAGGGCCCCGCTCTTGGGCTCCCTGTGCAGACAGCCTCGACACTGGCCACGTCTGCGTGAGAAGCTGCTGAAAGCCAGTGTCGGCCACCCTCTCATTCTAGCATCGGCGCTGCAGCTGCTGGGGGTCCCAGTCCGAGCCCTGGGCCTGCCTGAGGTCGGGTGTGTGGGGACTGTGCTTCGGCCCTGCCTCTGTTCTGTTCTGTAACCCCGTCTGGCCAGGTCCCTGTTTGCCCTACTTGGAAAAAGAGGCAGCATCACCACAGGCTGCTGGGAGCACGGAGGCACCTAGCCACCACCATCTGAGCGCCTGTGGGGGTTCCTCCCTCCTTGCTTTTCCAGGACCTGGATGACATGGATGCCGATCTGTTAGGTCTGAAGAAGTCTCATCCAGCTTCTAGCAGAAGCCCTACAAAGGGTTCTGGGAAGGAAGAGCTGCCTAGCAACCCCAAACCTGCTGATATGTTAACAGCCAACGAGAAGGGTGAGTAGGACATAGTTCTTCAGATCTAGGGAGCTTCGGGGATGTGGAAAATGCTTAGAAGAAAGCTTTCCTGTCCGGAGGGTTTTCTCCACCTGGGATGCAGAGGCTGGGAGCTAATGTGTATGTGCGTGATTGCGGTGGGGGAGGGGCACAAGGTGAGCTTCCTTCCCAGGGCTGTTCCAGTCCCTCCCAGTCCAACGTGGCCGCTCCTGGAGAAGCTGTCAGTGTTTGAGAACTTACGGTAGCCTGTGCCTCTCCCAAACCCATGTCTCTGGAGTGCCTGCGACTGGGGCAGGCAACTTCTATACTCTTTTTCCCTGCCAGAAGCCAGTGTGAGAGTGGCTGGGTCCATGGCCCCAAGCCCTCAGCTCCACCTGGGAGAAGCGTACACCCTCCCACGGCCCCAGTCATGGGAGAACCTTGGCCAAGACAGACCCAGGCCCATGGCCTTGCCTTCTCCTTGCTTTTCACAGGGGATGCCATTCCCACCAGGAAGCCATCTCCGTCTCTCAGCAGCTCTGGGCATCAGTACAAGAGGTTTTCTTCTGAAGGTACCACAGGCCTCAGTCATTCTTCTGGGACGCTTCAGTCTGGGGAGTGGAGGAGGTAGCCAAGGCAACACTTACTTGACCCCAGCTGAGCTGCTGTGTGTATCAGACGAGGAGCAGACGCTGGTACCACTGATTTAGTTCCTCACGATTCCAGGGGGCACTGATTATGTGTATTCACCTGGGTAATTGGGAAGCTTATTTGCAAGGACTTTGAAACCAGATGTCAAACTGAAGATTTTATAAAGAACAGCAAAAATTCCTTTCTTTTCATGAACACACAGATGTTTGATTTCTGATGCCCAGGGCATCTCCAGAAGGCTGTGCAGGCAGCAGGGTCCGGGGTCACGGGCAGGCCTGGCAGAGTCAGGCCCAGGGGGCTCTCCCGCTCGCTCTCCCCGTGTGCCCCGTCTGCGTCAGAGGCCCCCTCGCACGGGCTCCTCCCGATGCCCAGGGGCTTGTTTCTCTATCGGAGCAGCTGGGAAGAAGAAGAACACAGTGGCCCCCCAGCATGGCACAGGGCTTGTTCTGGAGCAAGCGTGCGGTCTGACCTGTGTTTCCCTTCTGTCCCCAAGATGTGGAAGACCCGTTGGCAGGACTTCTCTCTGATGACGAGGAAGGAGTCACCAAGAAGCCGCCTGGGACAGAGAGTAAAGCCATTTCTGAGAAGAGCCCGGCCCCAGCCAGAGATCAAGGTAGGGAGGGCGGGTTTGTTTCTTGTCCCAAGGAAGATTCAGTAGGCAGCCTGTTAACAGGAGGTGCCAGTGCAGAGCCTGAGACCCACCGGGCGTGTCTCAGGACCAAGATCCAGGATCAAAAGATCATTCATCTCCCAGAACGGAGGTGGGCTGTGCGAGCCTGGGAATGGGTCAGGGTTGGGGTCGAGTCCGGTCCTGTGGGCACACCAGACATGTTCAATGCCTGCTGCCCCATACAAAAGCCAAGGTGGCAGAGGAACGTGCCCCTCCACCCATCCGAACATCACAGTGGAGGGCCCTGTGCTCTGCGTTCCGACTCTTAGGTCCCTCTGTTCCTCTAACTCCTGGGGACACCCCCATCCGAAAGAAAGAAGAATTGTTCTTTGACGATGAGGACGACCTCATGGCTGCCCTGGGGTTTGGAGACAGCCCCAAAGCAGAGAGGAGGCAGACGGGAGACCGGTAAGCGTCCTTAGGAGGGGAGAATCCCTGGCCAGGCTGCGGGTTCAGGCCTGGGAAGAAGCCGGGGAGGGTACAGCATGGGCCCCCCAAGAACCCCTTGTGTGCACACATACCCGTCCTGTGTTCCGTCCTGCAGGGGAGGGCCTCCCCCTGCTCGCTCCAAGCTGGATGAGCCGCTGGGCCGAGGCTCTGCCTCCAAACACCTGGCCCATCCAGACCCCGGGGAGCACCAGGAGTTCAAGCTGGACAGGAAGTACCAGAGGCCACAGGGTGAGAAAGTTTGTGGGGCAGGGAGGTGGAGTGGGGGACCCCCAGAGCGGGTTCTTACCGCAGCCCGTAATAAGAAATAAGCTTTACGTCATGGCACACACACGTTATTGGGCACTTTGATAACTAAGACCAGTTGTGAAGTCATAATTACCACGTTTAATACTGCTCTTTTTTATTTATATGCTGTTTGACTTATAAATACGTTGGTTGCAACACAGTTTCAAAGTCACTGCAGTGTTTCTGAAAGCGCTGGCCCTGGGGCCACCTGCTGAGTCGTCCCTATTACACGACTAGCCCGCTGGCCTCACCCAGAGGACACGGGGCAGGCCCACTAGTGGCAGCTTCCCGACGGCCTTCGGGTGCTGGGGTGGGGGTGTGGAGGCCAGCCCTCACCCCGCCTCCCGCAGAGCAGCGTCACCGCCATGTGTCTTCCTAGCAAACTTCCAGTTCAGCTTTTTAAAAATAGAATTCCAAGCCCTGGCTGGTGTAGCTCAGTGGATTGCGCTTGGGCCTGTGAACCAAAGGATCGTGGTTCGATTCCCAGTCAGGGCGCATGCCTGGGTTGCAGGCCAGTTCCCAGCAGGGGACACACAAGAGGCAACCACACATTGGTATTTCTCTCCTTCTCTCTTTCCCTTCCCCTCTAAAGATAAATAAAATTTTTTATAAGAAAAAAAAAAAATAGAGTTGGACTGCCTTACCCTACCTAAATCACATGCTCCTTAATTCACAGACAAAGAAGATAGTTGGGGCAACGAGGACTTCATCTTTGGGGCCTATCAGCCCACCGTGGGCTCCTCCGAGAGCCGGCAGTCCCGCCGGCAGTCGGTCAGGTAGGTGGCCCTGCGGGGAGCTTGGTCTTGGAGACAGGCTGCTCCCGGGGAGACACGCCGGCCTCGGCCCGCCCCTCAGCAGCCCGCTTTGGCGGCTGCGCTGTGCAAGGCTTCGGCTCTGAAGGAGGAGGGGGGCGGCCTCTCCTACCAGCACAGGCCGCAGGGCAAGGCCACCCCCCAGCAGGAGCCCGGGCCCCCGCTCTGCTGTCGGCCTCCTCGGAGGGAAAAGGAGAATTGTCTCAATTTGGAATTTCCTCCCAGGGTATATTTCGAGCTTTGTATTTTGAAATAATCTCAGACTGACAGAAAAGTTGTGAGAACAGTACAAAGAACCCCCTACCTTTCATCCAGACCGAGCAGTTGTCAACGTTGTACCTTGTCGGCTTTGACAGCCGTTCTTCTCTTTAATTAATTCTCTGTACACATCGACATTTGTTTCCAGTCCTGGTATATTCTTCAGCTTTAGAACCTGCTGCCACTGGCCAGTAACACACACAGGCAGTGGCCGAATAAACGAGTAGGGAACAAAGTGACAGTTGCTGGGAAACTATTTGACTCAACTGATTTTCGCCCCGGGCGCATGTACCTGTGGTGTCACTCGGTCCTGTTCACTGCAGATGCAGTTGTCCCCGGGTCCGGGTGTCTGTGTTTCATGGTGTTTTACAGACAGCGCCCAGCTGTCACCGAGCTGCCACCTGAACTGGTGCAGGCACCATACTCTCGGGGCCTCAGGCTGGCACGCCAAGCCCCCGGGCACCCCAACTCCTTGGTGTGGACCTTACAGTGCCCCCCGGTGGTGGAGGGGGTGACTGCTCAGGGGCTGTGGAGACAGGCTGCTGGCCCTGCCCTAGACCCCATCCCTCTCTGTCTTAAAGTAGGTTCTTAGCAGAAGGCGGCACAGACACCAGGGGAGAACGAGGCTCCACGCAGAGCACCCCAGCAACAACCAGCCCCCCCCACCCCAGGAAGGGAGGAGCTGACTGGTTGGGCCTCAAGGACGAAGATGAGGACCTGCTCCCTCCCTCTCCCACCAGGGAGCCTCAGAGGGAGGGCTCTGCACTCTCCACACCCTTTGTGCCCCATCCTGAGAACCAGCTTTCTGCTCTGGGCCAGCACTCTGCCCCAGCAGGGCTGCCCCCCTCCTCCATCGGGGCAAAGCCACCGCCCGAGGGCGCTGGTGCCCCTGCCACAGCCAGCCGGCCTTCCCAGCTGGGAGCATCCGAGGAGACCGAGGAGGAGGACTGGCTGAGCCATGCCTTGTCTCGGAAGAAGTCCCGAGGTCTGGCCAGAGAAGAGCACGCTCTGACCTCGAAGGGCTTGAACTGGGAGCGGGCAGCTGGCCAACCCCCTTCCAGCAGGTATGGGCTTGGGCTGCTGTCTCCTGTGGCGGGAGGACCAGGCAGGGCGCATGGAGCACCACCCCTTCCCCGTGCTTCCTTCCTCGGGGCTCTGCGCAGACAGTGCCTGGCTCCTGCCTTTGTCCTGGTGCAGACACGAGGGGACCTGGAGCTCTTGGCACTCACACCCCAGCTGCTGTGGGGACAGGTGCCAACTGGATAGGTGGGAAACAAGGGGCCCTGGTGTGGCAGGCATGCAGCTGCCTCTGAGCAGGGGTTGGCGCAACCCCGGTGCCTGAATAACCAGTGCTCGTGGCGGCCTGAGCGGAAGGGAGGCCGCGTGTGTGGGTTGGCATCTGCCTGTGCTCTTTGGGGATTTTAGGGAAGACGCAGTAGCCAAGAGGTGACTTTTGGGGGAAGCCACAGAATGGTGGTCCTGTGGGGCAGGGCAGTCAGTGACCCCTGAGTGCAGGAAGGCAGAGGGACTGGAAAGGCTGGGATCATCCAGAAAGAGTGACAAGATGCTGTGTGGACACAGCAAAGGAGACACGATGTGACAGGTCAGGGACATCGCCCAGCCCTGGGGTTGGTATGAATGAGGAGGGTGGCTTTGACCTGGACCGGAAACCAAGGGGGAAGCTTCCTCACTGACGCCGGGAGCCAAGAAGAGAGGTGAGAACAACAGACAGGAGAAGGGAGAAACCTCAAGTACAGCTGGACCTGGCAGAGTGAGCAGATCCTCAGTCTAAAGCCCTTGAACTTGAACTTAACTCTGGTGCCTATAACATCTCCATTGCTGCTACTTGGATTGTTGTCAAATGCTCACTGTCCACTCACTGCTCTGGTGGGCCCTGGGGCAGGGAGGGGCTTCTGGAAGGCCACAGGCCCCAGCTTGGGAGGGGACTTCCCATGACAGGACTGCAGGTACAGGAGGAGGGCCAAGGGGAGAGGACAGCCGCACAGCTTTGCGCCCAGCCCAGCCTGGACCTCTGCCACCTTCACTTCAACGTTTACTTCCTCAGCCAGCCTGTTTCCAACACTCAAGGGCTCAAGCAGGCAGCTGCTGAAGGGACCTCAGGACCAGCAGTGCAGAAGCCACCTGCCCGGCCTGCCACTGCGGGGTATGTGTGCAGCCAGGGTTGAGGGTGGTGAGAGGCGCTCTGGGGGCCGGACTGGGCCTGCTTCCAACTTGGGCCATTGGTATCTGGTTCTGATACCTTGTGTCCAGCCCACTGAATCTGGGGTCCCATCTTTACCCACCGAGTTCTCACTTCGGTGAGCCACCAGCCACTGGGGCCTTTCTAGTTGGTGACACGAGGCTGATGTTCTCCTTTACTGTCCCCCCTCCCACCATTCCTGTCTCCTCAGGTCCTCTGTGACATGGAACCCGACCACCTTGGCCCTCTATGCAGGTGACTCAAAGAAGCGCACAGCCCCTGGAGACGTTTCTGGCACTGGTTTGTTTTCTGCTTTGTCTGGGAGTTAAGTCTGGGTAGGAGAGAGGCACCTGGAACTTCCTTTGGGGCACCCAGAAGAGAGTGATGCTGGAGCACACACACACACACACACACGCGAGACCTTGGGGCCTCTGTGGGCCTCCTTCCCCCTCAGTTCTCTGCTCTTGATTTTTCAGGGCCTGCAGTGTGTGTCCCGAGCTCCCAGGAACCCACGGTGTGTTCGGTGCCTGTCCAGGTAGGGAGGGCGGGCAAACAGGTACAGGTCTCAGGCCTGTGAAGCGATTCTCCTGTGGTCAGAGGCAACACCCGTGGTTTGACCTGACAGCTTGCCGACACACCAGAGAGCACACCCTGGCTCTCCCCACAGGCACTTTCTTATGCCCGTAGCCTGGGCAGGCAGAGCAGGGTGCTAACTTGCCAACACTAATAGGGAATCAGGTGGCAACCAGGTGGGGATAGCCAGGAGTGCTCCAATCAGAGAGCAGAACCGTAGGCGTCTTATAGTTCAGTCTAGACAGTCTCCTCCGTGCTTGCCATCCTCCCTCTGCACTTCCATCTGTTTCGCAGGTGTGGCGGTCACCGCTGGCCCCTGGCCGGGAGGAGGCCCCACCCCACAGGTCCACATCCCTAGTAACCCAGAAGTGCCCTTGGAGATGGGGGTTGGTGGGCAGCCAGCAGGAAGCAGGGTAGCTATCAACATTAGGACGGCAGACCTGATAGAAAGGGTCAGTATCCTCAATCTTTGTTGTCACCAACACTGCTGGGGCCCTGGTGTAGCTCAGTTGGTCAGCATCGTCCTGACACACCACAGTTGAGGGTTTGATCTCCAGTCAGGGCACACACAAGAAGCAACCAATGAATGCCTAGACGCAGAGTGGAACAGCAAGTCAATCTTTCTTCCTCTCCCTTCCTCTCTCTGAAAATCAATAAATTTTTGAAAACTAGAAAAAAGACTGCTGGGATTTGGCCATTTGTCAGGGAATCTGGACCACTGCTGGGAGGGTGTTCCAAGGAAGGAGGGAGACTCATTCTCCTAACCAGACCTGAGGGCAGGTGCAGTGACCATGTGACTCTCTGGGGCCTCATTCTTGGCCTCTTGGTGTCTGGTCCCAGTGAGCAGAGGCCCAGAGGCACCCGAGCCTCGCTGAGCCTCTGCCCCACCTCACCTGGAATATCTCACCTTCTACAGTTCCCGCTCCCCGAGTCCTTGGCACAGCACTTGCTGCCGGGCACAGAATATCAGAGGCAGCTCCTGGCTGCCCAGGCACAGCTTCAGAGTGGCACTGCCGAGCTTCAGGCTGAGCTGCTGCAGAGTCAGGCCCGGCTGGCAGAGCTGGAGGCCCAGGTGAGGGTCAGAGGTGGCTGCCTATGAGGGCAGGGTTGTGATGGGAAGATGTCACTGTGAGGAACCCTGGAAGGATTCCCCAGGGAGCCTGAGGGACCTGCCTTCCCGCCCTCTAAGTTGTCACTCTTGCCCTCTCAGGTGCGGAAGCTGGAGCTGGAGCGGACCCAGCACAAGCTGCTGCTGGAGGGTTTGCAGCAGCGACACCAGGCTGACCTGGAGCTCATCGAGAATGCTCACAGGTACCCCGCTCTGGGCTTCCCAGGCTCACGCTTGTCCTGGGACCATTGCGTTCCCAGAGGCCCTTCGGGAGGCCACCCTCGCCTTCTGAGCATCAGACCTGGGTGTTTTGTTGGCAGAAGCCGTGTCAAGGTGCTAGAAACATCGTACCAGCAACGGGAAGAGCGGCTGCGGAGGGAGAACGAGGAGCTGTCTGCCCAGTACTTGTCTCACTGCCAGGAAGCTGAGCAGGCCCGAGCGGAGCTCATGGCCCAGCACCAGCGGCGCTTGGCAGCGGCTGCGCAGGAAAAGGACCAGGAGATGGAGCGGCTCCGGGAGCTGCAGCGGTGAGGGCGCAGCCCAAGGGGAGCAGCCCAGGTGGGCAGGGGAGCAGTCTTCAAGGGTAGGAAGTCAGAGCAACCTGTTTGCCATGTGACCCCCAAAGCCATGACTCTGCAGCCTTTGAGCCACAGCCTAACCCTTTCCCTTCCTGGTGAGCACCCAGGTCAGCACACTGACCGTCACACACAAGTTGGGGGAGGGGGGCGGGGGGATCCTAAGGGCCCGCACTGTGTGGGCTGGGCCTGGTGGCAGCAAACAGCCACAGGCTAACTCAGCCCAGCTTAATCTGCTCGCCTGCTGGACGTCTTGAGTCTAGTTACTGGATCGGCCCTGGATGTGGTCTGTTGTGTGCCTCGAGTGTCGATCTGCTCGCCTTTCTAGGTTAGAACAACTGAGGAAAAGGCACATAAAGGAGTCGGCTGGTGAGGGCAGAGCGGCCTTTGAACACTGCTCAGAGCCCAGACACACCTTTCTTTTCCTCTGTGTACAATGCCCTTCACTGAATCACATAAGGCACCTCCCCCTTAGAGAGTGGATGTGGCATTGACATTAAGGCACTGAGACAGATGAGGCCGAGGAGCCAGGGGGACTGAGGCAGTGCCTGAAGGAGGAGGGGAGGCACGGCCCTCCCTGGAGAAGCAGCCCACAGCCCGCCCTCCCCGCTGCCCTGTAGGGCCTCCATCCTGGAGATGCGCAAGGACCACGAGGAGCAGCTGCAGCGGCTGAAACTGCTGAAGGACCGAGAGATCGATGCTGTCACCAGCGCCACCTCCCACACAAGGTACATGCGAGGTCTGGGCTGTGCCCACCCGAGGGGCTGGTGCTGGGGTCCGCAGGCCGGGGTGACCGGATCCTCCCCAGGTCCCTGAATGGCGTCATCGAGCAGATGGAGAAATTCTCCAGCAGCCTGAACGAGCTGTCCTCCCGTGTGGAGGCCTCGCACCTCACCACCGCTCAGGAGTGGGAGCTGGGCATCCAGCAGCAAGACAAGCAGCTCCGAGGTACCGTGTGGGCTGTGTGTCTCCTCCTCTCCCATCTCGGTGGGAGGGTGGGCGGACAGTGAGTACCCTGTGGGCCCCCCCCAAGCATTGCAGGAGAGGCTGGGCCACCAGCAGCGGGACATGGAGGAGGAGCGGAGCCGGCTCCAGGAGGTCATTGCGAAGATGGAGGCCCGCCTGAACGAGCAGAGCCGGCTACTGGAGCAGGTGGGGCTGCCCTCTGCCGACACAGGGCCCGAGTGTCAGCAGCGCTCTCAGCCCAGCTCCACGGCCTCGGGACGGCCTCTGAAACGTCTCCTGCCCCTTCCTGCCCCTGCTTCCCTGCTCCACCTCCAGAAGTGCCCCCGCCTGCTGCAGCTGAACCTTTTTCTGCCCGTCAGCTACATGTCCCAGTTTCTCTCTAGTCAGTTGAATCCGTCACAACAGACGATGCCTGTGACACTGAGAGAAACGTGTGCCTAACAGATACTTTGAACTCCCTATGTACCTCCACATATAAGAGGAAGCTTTACTCTTTAAAAACACCCGTGTCTCCTGGCATATGCAGGGTCATGCCCACCCTGGTGCTTTGCCTGCTTGGTTGATGGGAGACAGGGAGGCCAAGTGTTGGCAGTTCGGGCAGCAGGGACGCTGCTGCCTCCGGAGCCTCCCAGCAGAGGTCCTGAGCCTTGGTGCAGTCAGTCCGAGCAGCTGGCCCTGAGTCTTCCTCAGGGGCCCCTCCTTTTGTATCTCTCTGGGAAGGAGGTGTTTGTGACATAGTGTGGGAGACACAGGAGGGTCTGCACAGCAGTCAGGCTCGACTGGGAGCAGGGAGCCCAGTCTCAGCCCTGACCTGGCTGCAGGAACGCTGGCGGGTGAGCGCCGAGCAGTCCAAGGCGGAGTCCACGCAGCGCGCCCTGGAGGAGCAGAGGAGGATCAAGGCCCAGCAGATGGCCATGGAGCGCGAGGAGCTGGAGAGGGCCAAGGTGAGTCCCGCCACACCATGTTCAGCTGCCACCCCTACCATTATGCCCAGGGATGCTCACCCCTCACCCTCCTCCCAGAGTGCCTTGCTGGAGGAGCAGAAGTCCGTCATGCACAAGTGTGGGGAGGAGCGGCGGCGCCTGGCAGCTGAGTGGGCTGAGTTCTTCGAGCAGCAGAAGCTGAGTAAGGAGAGGGCCGAGCGAGAGGCGGAGCGGGCGATGCAGGTGGACACCCAGCGGGAGGGCACTTTCGTCAACCTGGTCAAGGTAGGGCCCAGAGCCACCAGCCCTGCCCCTTCCCTTCCCGGTCCTCACTGTCTGCTCCTCTTTTGGGACGGGTCAGCTTTGCAAAGGGCACAACAGCATCGGAATTGAAACCACAATGATTCATTCTACTGTCCTAGGTGCTTTGTATGCATTGCTTATTCAACTGCATTACGTCCCCACGATTTAGGTATTCCAGAGATAAGGAAGCTGGGGTTTAGAGAAGTTGAGCCCAGGGTGAGGGGCAGCACCGAGGCTTGGCCCCAGGCCTCCATGACTAGGCCCCCTTACGTCACCACCTCCTCCCAGAGTCAGGGTCAGCTGGAGCCACAGCAACAAAGTGGGCAGGGCAGGGCCTCCCTGAACCCTGAGCAGAGCCAGCTTCAGCTCCGAAAGGACAGTGCAGTGAAGACTTTGCCATCTCCAGGAGCAGGCAGAGCTGAAGATCAGGGCAAGTGAGCTCCGGGCCAAGGAGGACCAGCTGGCAGCAGAGAGGGAGGCTCTGGAGCGGGAGCGGCAAGAGCTGCGGCTGGAGAAGGAGAGGGTCAGCGCTGCTGCCCTGCGCACCAGACTCCGTGCAGAGGAGGTGGAGAGGATGAGCCAGGTGCCAGGCAGCTCGGCTTGGGGCATGGCTGGAGCTGGGGCAGTTCCCCGGCCTCAGCCAGCCTGGTTGACGCAAGTGGCTCCCTGTAGGTGGCCTCAGAGAAGTACGAGGAGGGGGAGCGGGCGTTGCGTGAAGCCCAGCAGGTGCAGTCAGAGCAGCAGGCCCGGCTGCAGCTGGTGCGGCGGCAGCAGGAGTGGCTGCAGCAGCAGGAACAGCACGTGCACCAGGCAAGGCCCCTCCCAGCTCTGGCTCTGCCCGCAGGCTGGGGCAGTCCACTGACCCCCTTTCTCCAGCCTCCAGCTCTCACATCTGTGTCCTTCTTTCCGGGGACGGGGGACAGGAGCATCTGAGTCTGGCCCAGCAGAGGCTGCAGCTGGACCGTGTCCGACAAGACCTACCCCCTGGCCCCATGGGGCTGTTCTTCAGGGCCCAGGGCCTGGCAGCCTCCAGCCCGAGTGGTAAGTGGCCCCGGAAGAACTGAACTTTGGCCATGGGGTGGGGCAATGCCAGGAGCATCCTGCCCACACCTCCCTCTGCTCAAATTAGGGGGTTCGCTGGGTTTTCAAGTCATCTTGTACCTACTCTTTATACAATGAATGCATGTTCATTATAGAAAATAAATTTGAAAATAGAGGAAGGGAAAGTCTTTTTCTTTTTTTACCCTCACCTGAGGACATGCTTATTTATTTTAGAGAGAAGGGAAGGGAAGAGAGGGGGAGAGACACATCAATGCCAGAGAGAAAACATCTGATCAGGGGCTAAGCCTGGAAACCAGGCATGTGACCTGACCCAGAATTGAACCAGCAACCTTTCAGTGTACGGAACAGTGCTCCAACCCACTGAACCACCCAGCCAGGGCATCAAACTCAAAAATGTCACTCTCAACCCCACTCTCTAGAGAAAACCCCTTTTAACACGTTGATGTATAGTGTTCTAGACTGCCTGTGTGTGTGTTTAAAGATTTTATTTATTTGCTTTTAGAGGGGAAGGGAAGGAGAGAGGGGGAGAAACATCAATGTGTGGTTGCCTCTTGCATGCCCCCCACCAGGGAGGGACCTGGCCTGCAACCCTGGCATGTGCCCTGACTAGGAGTCGAACCGTGATCTTTTGGTTCACAGGCTGGCACTCAGCCACTGAACCACACCAGCCAGGGTGTGTGTGTGTTTTTGAACACAAAATTGACATCCTGTATGCTGTTTTATATTTTGATTTTTTTTTTTTTTTGGTTTGGAAATATACACATGGAGCATGTTTTTATATCCGCGATTAAACATTTAACTGTACTTTTAATCAGTATAAGTTTTCATTAATTTTAATGGAAATTAAAAGTATGGAGGCTGTTTCATATTTTTAGATTTTCTGCTAGGTCATTTTTTTGGTCACTGAGATAAACAGCATGTCAGTGGAAACACGTTACATCCATCTCTGCACCTCCACCTGTTCTTACCCTTGAGTAGGTTCCAGGAATTGGCCTTGCTCGGTAAAATCCCACGAGCACGTTCAAAGGCTTTTGAGAGTTGGTGGACATGCCCAGAACGTTGGTCCTGGCTGCATCCGCATTTTGGGGGTGAGCAGGCCCCAGGGAGTCAGGCTGTGGCCACCCCGCCCTCCCACCGACGCTTCAGCCCCTGACTTCCTCCTCAGGCTTCTCAGCCGCGGTTCCTGCTGCCACCAATCCTCAGAGCAGCCAGCCACCCACCAGCCTGGGCCCCTCGCTCCTCCACGCCAAGCTGGTGCTGCTGAAACACACAGCGGAGCAGGTGAGCATCCCTTAGCAGAGGCAGCCCTGGCCTGTCACTGCCTGTCGTGGTCACATTGGTAGCCCAGGGCACAGGCAGAGAGGAGCACATCTGGGGGAGGGGGCGCTGAGCCCACCACGGAGGAGAGTAGTCAGGCAGATCGTGTAGCCACCATCTCTGAGACCTGCCCTGGAGGCCAGGCTCCGTTCGTAGCCATTGCCTCTGTCATCTCAGTTGGGTCTCACAACAGCCCTGTGACAAGAGTGGTAGCAGTTACCACTTGCAGAGTGTTTCCTGTGTTTCAAGCTCTGCACTGAAAACTGCACTATAAGCCTTTCCTCTCCCCTGCCCTACAAAGCAGGTGGTGTTATATCCAGTTTACAGGCTTAGAGAGGTGCTAGCAGGGGCCTCGCCAGGACTGATACCTGGCCTCTCACCCCAGTGTGCCTGTTCCTTCCCTGCCGCCTCGCCCCAGAGCCAGGGAGTAAGTGGGGGGGCACCCTGAGTAAGGGCTGGCTGGGCTACCACCCAGGGGTCTGCCTCACTCTCAGGCCCTTGCCCGTGTTCCAGGACAGGGCCAGAGGGCAACTGCTCACCCAGCTCTGCCTTCCAGGACCGGGACTTCTTGGAGAATGAACAGTTCTTCTTGGAGACCCTGAAGAAAGCCTCCTACAACGTGATCTCTCATTCGGCCTGAAGGGCCCCGCTGCCACCTCAACAGAGGACTCAGACCCTGGCACTGTCCCCACTGCCCCCCTGACCACCAGCTCCAGGGAGGGGCTGCCCAGGGCCTGGTAACAGCTCTGCGTGTAGACTGGGAGCCGGGCCTTCTTTCCGAGCGTACCCCCTCATTGCCGTGGCGGGCAGGCGCCGCTGTGCCTCTAGGCTTTGTGGTACAGTGGCCTCTGGGGAGAAACAGCGCTGAGGGATCTCAGCTCCAACACACTGTCGGCCTCAGCTTTGGTTCACCTGTGCCACGGACGTCCAGCTCAGACCCCGGGACCTGACTGGGCTCTGTGGATCCCTGCCTTTGGGGGGGTCTTCTCGAGGGATGACCCAGCAACCTCCTGCCCTCTGCCCAAGAGGCCGGCAGAGGCAGCACCGTGCCCCCCCACTCCCGCCAGTGGGGATGTGGAGTGGGGCCACAGGTTTGGAAGGACCTCCTGTTGGTCAAGGGCGGAGGGTGGGGGGCAGGCAGGGTGCCATACCTGGCCAGCCTTTACTTCACAGCCAGCCCCTCCTGCCCTTGGGTGGGCTCAGGCCAAGTCCCTGCTCCTTCCCACCTGCCTGGCTTGGCATGGACACTGGCCTTGTTGGCTTTTTCTAATAGGCACCCCAAAACTGGGGGTGTTGGGGTGGGGGAAGGGCAGGGCACGAAGGCTTCTCTTGTTCTGTTCACCTGCCACAAGGCCACAGCCAGATGGGAATGAAAACAACAGATCGAGGGCCCCTGCCCTGGGAGGGTACAGAGCGCTGGGGAGCCCTGAGGGACACACTCTGATGCCCCCTGACCCAGACCCAGGTGGCGCGGGCCAAGACCAGCTGGAGGGGAGGGGTGGGAATCAATTGCTTATAAAACGGCTTCTGCAGGCGTGATAAATGAAGGCTAAGGGCAGAAAGTGTCCCAGTAGCAGGAGGGCCCCGAGGGGCAGTCTGTCCTCTCTCTGGACAGCTTCCAGAGCCGCCTTCCTGCTCTGCCGGCAACTCACAGTCTTCGTCCTGGACCCCTTGGATTGCTATATGATTTTTTTGAAATCCAACTTCATTTCTTGCCATACATGATTCTGAGACAGCCTTTCTATTTTATGGTTTCACAATTTCACTCTATGTATGTGTCCACAAATAATAAATACAAAATATTGATTTTTGTGCTTAAAAATCTATCTAGCCCTGGCCCGGTAACTCAGTTAAGCGTGTCGTGATGTGCCACGGTTGTGGGTTCCATCCCAGTCAGGGAGCACATACAAGGATCAGCCAATGGCCCTGGCTGGTGTATCTCAGTGGATTGAGTGCGGGTTTCGAACCAAGGGGTCACCAGGTTGATTCCCAGTCAGGGCACATGCCTGGGTTGCAGGCCAGGTCCCCAGTGGGGGCCACATAAGAGGCAACCACACATGGATGGTTCTCTCCCTCTCTTCTTCCCCCTCTAAATAAATAAATAAATAATCGACCAACGAATGCATGAATAAGTGGAACAGCAAGTTGATATATTTCTCCCTACCCCCTTCCTCCCTCTCTAAAATCAATAATTAAAACATCTTTTTAAAAAATAAGTGGCCCTGGCTGGTGTGGCTCAGTGGATTGAGTGCTGGCCTACAAAGCAAAGGGTCACTAGTTCCATCTTCAGTCAGAGCATATACCTGGGTTGTGGGTCAGGTCCCCAGTAGGGGGCGCTCGAGAGGCAACTACACATTGATGCTTTTTTCCCTTTCTCCCTTGCCCTCTGTCTAAAAAATAAAATCCTTAAAAAATAATAAAAATCAATTAAAAATTTTAATCTAAATAGTATTGTATACATTGTTTTGCAAACTTTTATTTTTAGAGAGAGGGGAAAAGAGGGAGAGAAACATCAATGTGTGGTTGCCTCTCACATGCCCCCCACCAGGGACCAGGCCTGCAACCCAGGCATGTGCCCCAACTGGGAATTGAACCAGCAATGCTTTGGTTCACGGCCCCTGCTCAATCCACTGAGCTACAACAGCCAGGTTTTTTTCTCACTTTTTTTTTACATTTATTTATGCTATTTCATGTAGCTCCAGTTTGTGAATTTTAACTGCTGAATACTATTTCATTCTTTGACTATATACAGCACAGTTTATTTATTCATTCTACTAATGGGCTCTCAGGATGTGCCCAGTTTTCCATATTATTTACGGTGCTGTCACAGACATGCTATGCATGCCTCTTTGGCATGTATGTAAGCACCTCTCTAAAGAGAACCTAGAAGAATTTCTAGGCCACAGAGTATGTGCTTAACTTCACTAGTTAGATTGTAGTAGTTATTGCCAAATTGCTCTATAAAGCAATTGGACCAATTTACTCTCCAACAATGGCAGCCAGGCCACAGGGGAAAAGGTGAGGAGTGGAAGGCAGATGTGACAGCACTTGGCAAAGGCCCTGTGCCCAAGGGAGCAGAGTGCTAAGTAAGTGAAGATAAGATGGTGTCGTGGAAGCTGGTGTACCAGCCCACAGGGGCCAGATCACCTGGGGTACCGAGAGCAGCACCGCCCTGGAAGGATTTAAACAGACACTGCCTTAACCAGGTTGCTTATGCTGCGGTGTGGATGGATACTGTTATGGGAAAGACTCAGACCAAACACTGGAGGAAGTGGAACCTTTATTACGCATGCGGACCCAGAGGAGGTAGTCTCCAAATTCTGGGCCCTGGTGAGCGGGGAGCAATTGCTTATATAGGGCGAGGGGCGGTCTGTCACTTAGACCATTATTTCTGGTGCGAAAGCAAGCAGCTCACAGAAGCAAAAAGTAAAGTGTTATCTCTGGCGCACAGGGACAAGCAGCTTACAGAAGCAAGAAGCAAGGGGAAAAAGCCATAAACCAGTCATACCCTGGGTGCTGTACTATGTTTTAAAATAACTGCCAATTTCCTCTAACAATACTAGGAAATCGGAGGTCATCCAAAGCTAATACGAATACCACGGCAAGTGCTTTATATTTTTATTTATTTAACCCTCTAAAGACCCTGAGGTAAGTACTACTGTTACCTACTTTTTCCCCAAATAAGGAAAAGGTGCGAGAAAGGTCACACGCGGCCAGTGTATGCACCTCTCTCCCCTGCCCCTGCCCCACTGGGGGCTCAGGATGCCGCCTTGTGGCTGTAGGTCCAAAGCCGAACCACAGGTCCTCAAAGGGCCGACCTCCACGCGTCTGGGCAGATGCCTGGCCCAGTCTACCGCCCCCGGTCTGAGACTACTCTTGGTGGCCGGCCGCAGGCAGGAGACACGATCGCTCGCAGCTCCGCTCCGTGGTCCATCCGGCACTTGACAGACCAGTGCTCCCTGGACCCGCAGCCGCCTCCGGCCAGGAGGAAAGTCGGTCGGTCTCCAAGGAAGGAGGAATCGGGAGCCTAGGCCGGGTCGTGGCTCCTAGGTCTTAGGCTCGAGGGCAGGGATAGCGGGGCGGAGCCTCCTGGGTGCACTCCGGCGCTATCCCGGCCACCTTTGCTGGGTCCTAGGGGCGGGACGGCGAATCCGAGGAAAGATGGCGGCGCCCTGGTGTCGAGCTGTGCTGGGTGGAAGTCGGGGGTGGCGGGGCTTCAACACCTCGGGTGAGCTGTTTAAGGGTGCGGGACTCTCGCAGGTCTCCCTTTAGCCTACCTAACCCCTGAGACTCGAGCCAGCGCCCGCCCCGGCCTCCGCGGGTCCCGGCGGTTGCCCCGCCTGACGTCCCGCTCTCTGTCCGCAGCCGCGCTGAGCCGCAGGACCCCCCCACTGGGGCCGATGCCCAACGAGGACATCGATGTGAACAACCTGGAGCGGCTAGAGAAATACCGCAGCTTCGACCGCTACCGGCGCCGGGCTGAGCAGGAGGCGCGGGCCCCGCACTGGTGGCGGACCTACCGCGAGCACTTCGTGGAGGAATCAGGTGCGGGGCGACCAGAGCAAGGGCCCCACCGGCAACGTCGCCGAGCATTGGGGAACGGGCCAGGTCTACCAGAATTTTTCACACCTGTTGGTCCCCCTGCTTGGAAAATTCCTTCCCCACTATTGGAGTTCCACCTCAGATATTTCTACTCCTAAAATCCTTTCCTGGCTGGTCCCCGTCTCTTTGCTCCTAGAATAGTACGTGGCCCTGGCTACACCGCATCCTTACTTTCTCGTGGCGCCCCCCGCCTCCCCGCGATGGTGAGCTCCCTAAGGACAGGGGAATCCTGCCGGTCTTAACCTTCGTTGGATCCTGGCACCTGTATCACCTGTGTAGTGTGCAATACTTGGCTGAATGAAATTAAAAGCTCTGGGCAAGATGACTCGGAAACCCTGCCACTGAGCAACTGACAAATGCGTCCTTTAGGAAGGCATTTCCAGAGGCAGTGTTTGCAGTGGTTAAGGGCACTGACGTGGAGCGAAACCCAAGTCAGCCTCTTAGGAGTGATTTTCCTGAGATTTTATTTTTTCAACCATAAAATTAAAATAACTGCCTTTGTCACAAAATTGTGAGGATTAAAGGACACAGTCCGATGGAATTCCTGGATGATCCATCCTTAATGAGGGCTTAGTGTGTGTTAATTTCCATTATATTCCAACATAAATGGGAAAAGTGTTGGGTTAAACATCCTCTAGAGCCTTGCCACTCAGAAGTGTGTTCCGGGACCAGCAGCACAGGCATTACCTGGGAGCTTGTTAGAGATGTTGTTTCAGGGCCCACTCTGACCTGCTGAATCAGAATCAAATTTGTTAAGTTTCTCAGGTTTGTTTGTTAAAGTGCGAGCAGTGCTTCTTGAAGTCCTTGTAGCTTCAGCTTTTCTACTGAGCACCCAGGCGGGTGTCCGTGGCCAGCTGTGAACAGGCCTGCAGGTGATCAGTCCCAGCTGTAATTGGGAGGCCATCTGCTTACATTTCCCGTTTCCTAGACAGACAGCGTATCTTGGTTTAGGGATCAGACAGTGCAATCTCAAGCTTACCCGATTTGCTTAGCAACTGGACCCTGCTCAGGTCTATGAGGCAGGCTACACCGTATATTAGTTTTGTGAATTAAAGAGAATGCTTTGGCAGCCCAGGTTGGGCAAGTGAGAGGACCACGCAGGCACAGGTGGCTGTACCAAGGACTGAGTCCACTTCCTCTAACACATCTTCCCTCCCTAGATCCCAAAGACAAGGTTGACATTGGGCTGCCTCCACCCAAGGTCTGTCGGACCCAACAACTGTTGGAGCGAAAACAGGTCCTCCGGGAACTGCGGGCCAACGTGGAGGAGGAGCGGGCCGCCCGGCTGCGCACAGGTAAGCCCTCCCAGGGGAGAGGCCCCGGGTGTGTCCCCACCCCTACCTTGTGTCCAAACTGGCATCATTCCTTCCCAGGGCGTATCCCGCTGGAGGCTGTTCGGGCTGAATGGGAGAGGACCTGTGGCCCCTACCACAAGCAGCGTCTGGCAGAGTACTATGGCCTCTACCGAGACCTGTTCCACGGTGCCACTTTCGTGCCCCGTGTGCCCCTGCACGTGGCCTATACCGTGGGTGAGGATGAGTTGGTGCCTGTGTACCACGGCAATGAGGTCACGCCAACCGAGGTGAGTGCTGTGCCCTGTCCCTCCCTGTGTGGACAGACAGCCCAGTGGGGGGCCATAGACAGTCCTTTTCAAAAGCCTTTACAGAGGAGGTTTTTATGCTCCTTGAGGGCACGAGCTCAGCAGAGATGTGGTCTGAGTTGGAGTTTTGTTGTCCTATAGCTTCTCTTTTTGATTTCCTAATAAACAGCATCATGATAATTACCAAACAGAAGACCACAAAATGAAAGAAAAAGCAGCCACATCCTGGCCGGCCGCTTGCCATCTTCAGGGTGCCCCCCTCACCCCTGTCTGTTGACTCGTGGGCCTTCTTGTGGCTTAGCTCTCTTGAGAGGCAACTCTGCACGGTTCCTTGTAGAAGTTTCTCATTGCTGGTTTACCTCTGAAGGAGCTGTCAGAGATGTTTGGATCAGAGTGGGCTCTGCCTTCTTCAAGTCTCCCTCAGAGCCCTGCTCTCCAGAAAGCTCTCTTTATAATAGCCGTCTTCCCCTCCTGAGGGTGACAGCTCCCTCCTCCTTCCTCCATCAGGCTGCCCAGGCCCCAGAGGTGACCTATGAGGCGGACGAGGGCTCCACGTGGACACTGCTGCTCACCAACCTGGGTGGGTATCTAGGGCGCACTGGGCCTGTCTGCCTCCCTCACCTGCCGGGAGCCAGGGCCCTGGGGAGGGGGAGGGGGGAGGGGTGGCAGGGCCCTCAGTCAGTGGGTCTGTTTGTGTGCAGATGGACACCTGCTGGAGCCGGATGCCGAGTATATCCACTGGCTGGTGTGAGTACCTGGGGAAGGGCCGTGGGTCAGACATGCAGGGAGACCCTGGCATTGTGGGAAGGGCTGCCCCTGAATTTCCGTCTTAGATCCACTGTAGATTAGCCTCCCTCCCCTGGAGTCGGCCCCTCATCTCTGCTTCTGAGAGTGTCAGGGTCATATGGTCCAGTGGCTAAAGACAGGTCCAGAAGCAAAGCGGGCCATGGGCCTGGGCTGCTCCTACCAGCCTCTTGGTCTCCCTGAGCTCCTTTCCTCACCTGTGAGTCTAGGGTGATGCCTTCACATTCCTTAATCACCCCAAGGGGCTCTGTGACAATCAAACAGGAGAGGGACCATGAGAGGCCTATGCAGCTGTGGCCTGCCCGGGTCAGCCTGCCTTTTGTTTTCCTAGTGGCTTTTGGCTCTGAGCACCAGGCGGGTGACCCTAGCTTTGGGACTTCCGAGTAATCAAGTCCAGTGGCTGGGAGTCTGGTTCGTGTCACTTTTATTCAATGAAGTTATCCGCCGGTGCAGCGGGGCGCTTCTCCAGGCAGGCCCAGTGGCCATCCCGGTGCCAGGCTGGGTGGACACTCTGACACAGCCCCGAGCTTCAGGAAACAGAGAGAGAAACGGAGAAGCAGCTCCAAGGTGGCCTGGTCTCCACCTGAGTGGCCGTGACAGCCCCACCAGCTGCACAGGGCCCAGCAAACAGGCTGTTGGGCTTTGCTCTCATGCTGGCTGTCTGTGGGACCCTAGTCTTCCCTGCCTCTGAGCCCCAAGGGCTCACAGAGCCCTACCTCCTACTTGATGATCTGGTGGGGATCCTTCAGGGCCTGTGTGCCAGGGGGTTGCTTCAGCCTCTAGGGAGTAAGTGGTGGGGGTACTAATCTGCTATTAACGGCTTGCTTTTTCTCCTACAAGAACCAACATCCCGGGCAACAGGGTGGCTGAAGGACAGGAGACGTGCCCCTACCTCCCCCCGTTCCCCGCCCGGGGCTCTGGCTTCCACCGCTTTGCCTTCCTGCTCTTCAAGCAGGACAAGCCAATGGACTTCTCTGGGGACACCCGGCCTTCACCCTGGTAAATCTACACCCACCACGTGCCCCAGCACCACCTTCCCAGCCTCGGGCCAGCTTCCTAGCCATAGTCAGTTTTGCTCAGTTCTCTCTGTCAACTCAGGCCCTGAGACAGGCAGGGAGGAGTTGTGCTAGGCAGGCCCTAAGGGGCTTCTCAGGACTGGGGGCCAGGTTGGGGGCGGGGCTCCGGTGCCCAGTCCCCCTTATTCGGATTTCCCCATCTTCTCATAGTTACCAGCTTGCCCAGCGAACCTTCCACACATTTGATTTCTACAAGAAGCACCAGGAAGCCATGACCCCAGCTGGCCTGGCCTTCTTCCAGTGTCGCTGGGATGACTCGGTCACCCACATCTTCCACCAGCTTTTGGGTAAGGCCAGAGGGGCTAGTGGAGCAGGGTAGGTGACCTGACAGGCGGTTCTCCCCAGTCAGGGAGAAGTGGAGACGAGGCGAGGGGCTCCGGCCGGCAGCAGCCACACCCCCCACCCGCTCTTCCTGCAGACATGCGGGAGCCAGTGTTCGAGTTCGTCCGGCCGCCTCCTTACCACCCCAGGCAGAAGCACTTCCCCCACCGGCAGCCCTTGCGCTACCTGGACCGGTACAGAGACAGTCACGAACCCACCTACGGCATCTACTGAGTGGCCAGGCTGCCACCACCTTGGAGAGTGCTCCACGCCTCTCAAGCCACTCCGTCAGGCTCTGCAGGCAGGAACCATTCAGACCCAGCTCCAGAGCCACGCTGTGGGGTTGTAGGCCCTGCCTGCGGTAGCCCCCCTGTGGTCCCCCTAGCAGGCCCAGGGCCTGGGGGAGAAGTGGCAGCAGGGATGGCTATGTGAATAAAGACGGTTTCTGCTGTGCTGGTCTGGTCTGTGTTCCAGGAGCAGCCAATCCCATGAAGATGTATTGCTTCGTGGGTGGGAAGAGGGCAGCCCCCCACCCCAGCGGGTATCCCCTCCCCTCTGCCTCCGGAGGGCGTCAGAGGCCCTGTGATCCAGTGGCTGAAGACAGGTCCGGACGAAGAGCAGGCCATGGCCCCTGGGAACACATCTGCCAGCCCCGCCCATTAGCCCCTGGGCGAACAGTGCGATGCAGGCTCTTGGCCTGCTAACTAGTCACCTCAGACTTCAGGCACACACACCTCTGCTTGGGGCCCAGAGAGACTCTGCACCCTCCCTGGCTATGGTATTTCTGCCCTCTAAAGAAAAAGACTGCCCTGGCTGGTGTGGCTCAGCAGACAGGCCTGGCGTGTGAACCGAAGGGTCACGGGTTCAATTCCTAGTCGAACATGCCTGGGTTGTAGGCCAGGTCCCCAGTAGGGGGCGAGTGAGAGGCAACCACACATTGCTGTTTCCCTCTCTCCTTCCCTTCCCCTGTAAAAGTAAATTAAGTAAAATCTTTAAAAAAGAAAAGAAAGACTGCCTAGTAGCCAAGCAAGAGATCTGTACTCATTTTCCAGGAAGAAACGCGTTGCATTTATGACACAGGAGACGTGACACTGCCCTGCAGTGCGGGCGTCCCACAGCTCCCTCAGAACAGTCCCCTCCTCCAGCTGGTCCTGCCCAACACTCCCTGCTCCAGTGCAGATGGGTCAGCAGTCAGTGCCTCCTCTGTTCAGCTGCAGGGGACCCACCGCACTAAAATGAGGTTCCACCCTGGCTGGAGTGGCTCAGTGGGTTGAGCACCCACCTGTGAACTGAAGGGTTGCCAGTTCTGTTCCCAGACAGGGCACATGCCAGGTTGTCGGCCAGGTCCCCAGTAGGGGGCGCTCAAGAGGGAACCACAAAGGATGTTTCTCTTCCCCTTCTCTAAAAGTAAAATCTTTTTAAAAATAGAAAAGTGAAGTTCCATTACAGCCTAGAGAGGGGGTTCCGAGTGCAGTCGAAGAGCACCTTTCGGTTTCCATTGAAGGGGGTGTGAGAAAAACCATAGGACTGGTCTGTTGGTGACCAGAAATTTCCACCTCATTGTTCATGTGTAGCAGAGAGAAGGGAGACATCTGGTTTGGTAAATGCCTGAAGCTCAGCTCCAGGGAAAAGTGCAGCGGAGCCCGGTGGGTCAGGAGAGAGCATTTAATGAGCACATGCTGCGTGCCCCTGCTCTTAGCTCTTACTGCCAGGCGCTCCCAGTGCTCTCTCATCCGGACTCTAAAACGCGGTTGGCCGCGGTGGTGGTATTAGCTTTTCAGATGAAGGTTCCAGGTGATGGCCAGGGGGAGGCCGGTGGCCCGTTGGAATTCTTATCTAGTGGCTGGTACTGGATCCCCTGCTCAGGAGCTGCTGGGCAGAGAGAGGATCTAGGGAGTCGGGATGAAGGTCCCAGGGTGGGACGAGTGAGAACTGGACCCCAACTCCCTGCCTGGGGTGGCAGGAGTGGCTCTGAGCCTAGATGAGGGGAGTCTCGGGGCTGGATTGGGTGTACTGCAGCCCTCGGCCGCCAGAGTGGAGGCTGGTCCGCGTCCTCCAGGAAGGGTGTCACCTCTGCCCCCAAGACAGGTCCTCATTCTTCCCCACCGCGCCGCAGGGTTCGCGGCTCCTTTAAGAGGCCGGGCCGTCTCCGGGCGGGACTCGGGCCTGCCCTCTTGCCCGCCGGCCGCCGCCATGGCCAAGGAGCTACTGGAGGACAAGCTGACCTGCGCCATCTGCCTGGAGCTCTACGAGGACCCGGTGACGCTGCCCTGTGGCCACAACTTCTGCGGGGCCTGCATCCGGGACGGGTGGAGCCGCCGCGAGAAGGTGTGCCCCGAGTGCCGGGCACCCTTCCCCGACCACGCCGAGCTGCGCCGCAACGTGGCGCTCACCGACGTGCTCAAAGTGGTGCGCGCCGAGCCTGGCCCAGCCCCGGGCCCCGCTGCGACCCCTTGCGCGGACCCGCGCGCCGACGTCGACGTAGGCGCGCGCTGCCCCCAGCACGGACGGCTGCTCGAGCTCTTCTGCCGCACCGAGGGCCGCTGCGTGTGCAGCGCGTGCACCGTGAGCGAGTGTCGCCTCCACGAGAGGGTGCTGCTGGAAGTTGAGCGCCGGGAGCACGAGGTGACACGCCGCAGGGGCAGGGGCGGGGGGGGGCGGGTGCTGTGGCGGTGCATCCTGCTCTCTCCCTGTGTGTGGCGGCAGCTTCAGCAGGAGGCAGCTTTGCGGTGTTTTTATTCCAAGAAGGCGGTGATCAGAAAATACATACTTGGAATAGATTTCCGAGCTGGGGACAAGCCAGGGTTATGGGAGAGAGTAGCTGAGGTGGAGTGAGTCCCTCAGGGAGCCCAGAGCCCCAGCGCAGGAGGATAATTAATTCCTGTGGCCGCCTAGATCACAGGGAATGAAGCCTGGATGGTACTGTTGGCGGCATGAAGACCGAACGTTAAGCATGAGGGTTTGCAGCAGTCCAGTAAATGACAGCAACAAGGAGAGGGAGGAACAGGTGGTACAACCAGATGAGCCGAGGGACACTGGAGCCTGAGGGAGGGCAAGTGATGAGGGTCTGCATGGGTGTCCTGTGGGGCCCGCCCAGTGAACCGGAAGAGTCTGTCTTCCATTCCCCACTGGGGGCCTGGACGAAGGCGTAGCACTGGGCTTAGCAACCTCTGACGACTTCAGCCAAACTGTCGGCTTCTATCACCCGTTTCCTTATCTGGAAGTGAGATCACACCATCCTTACCTCAGAGTGTTGCTGAGAGCAGAGGAAGTAAGATAGGGTCTTAACCAAGTGTAGGGTACCAAATCTTGGGGAGGGTAGGCGGACAGAGTTTTTCCGACTCCCAGGAGATGACATTTTGATCTTCAAGGGCACCAGAGCAGGCACAACCGAATAGGAGTATTCTCTTACCCTCGTGCCCAAGGTCAGGCATCTGGAAGAGCCATCTTATGTATGCACTGCCCCGCCCACTCTGGACCACCATCTCCTCCCTTCAAGGCCCAGAGTGAGCAGAGTTACAACCCAGAGAGAGCTGGTGCTCTGCCCAGGTTGCTCACACTGTGAGATGGACTGGACATCAGGTCTTCAGCCCAAGTCTTCCCCTCTGCCCATGCACTGCCCTGTTCCAGGTGGGGAAGGGGCTTTGTCTAGACCTCACAGAGATGCTGACTCAAATCTCCTAGGGCCCAGACCAAGGCCGGTGCTCTGTGCACTGGACCACTGGTCAGCCTCACCTGGGGCAGCACGACAAGGGGATGCCCAGCATCTGCAGGTGTTTGTTGATTGACTGAGGAGGTACTTCACAGCCAGTCCTGGCCCCTTCATGTCACTTGTCCCCTGTCCCCTGGTGGGCACCACAGGCCCAGCTGAGAGCCATGCAGGAGGTCACCCGGCAGCAGGCCACCCAGGCTGAGAGCCAGCTACAGGAGCTGCAGCAGCAACGCAGCCACATCCAGGTACAGGTCTGTCCCACCCAACACCTCTTCGTGTTGTGTCCCTCAGGCGGCCACCAGCTGGTCCCTGTGACACTGGGCAGGTGGTATGAGCTACCTTGGAAGTGCTTCCTGAAATTGGGAAGCGAGGGGCTGCACAGGGGGAAGAGGTTTCAGGGGCCCCAGCTCCCCATATCCACCCCTCTCAGCCCGGTGGGGAGCTGTCGCCCCAGCCTGCCTTGGTATGGGGCAGGGCCCTGGCCACCCTAGGCTCCTCCTGTGCCCATCCAGAGCTCGGCCTGCACCCTGGCTTCCAGGGTCTCTGGCAAGTTCAGCTGCCTGATTCAGGCCCTGGAGATGCGTCGGGACTTAGCACTGAGGGACATCAAGGTGGCGGAGACACAGGCACTGGCACAGGCCCAGGAGGAGGAACAGCGACTACAGGGCCACCTGGAGGCCGTGACTCACGTTGACCGCAGGATCCAGGGCCTCCTGGAGCAGCTGGATGACCAAACCTTCCTCCAGGTACCAGGGCAAAGGGTGGTAGGTTGGGGGACCCAACATCTGCCCCTTGCATCCTGGCTGACTACAACTGTCCTCGGAACTCAGGAATCACAGCTCCTGGAGCCGCCAGGGCTTCTTGGGCCACTGACTCTTCCACAGTGGGACGCAGATAAACAGCTAGGTGGCCTGAAGGAGAGTCTGAGCCAGCTTTGTGGCCTCCTCTTGGACGAGGATGGTCCCCTCTTGGATGAGGGGACACCAGCTGAGGCTGCTGACTTGGCTCCCATGGGTAAGGCTGCCCCAGGATCTCTTCCTACCCCGCCAGGCCCAGTGGTCCTTCCCACTGCGGGTGGGAGTGGAGTCAGCCCACCATGAGCTCCCTTTCTCATTGCTCCCCTAACTCTACTTTGCCCTCTAGAGGCCCCAGGTGTCCCAGCATCGGTCCCAAGCCCAATTTGTCCGCTGAGGAGGAAACTCTGGCAGAGTAAGGGGACTAGGGGCATGTGTGTGCACGTGTGTGTGAGTTCGTTGTGCAGGGATGTGGGTGTGTCTGTCCACATGTGTACCACACACATGTGTGCACTTGTGAGTGCGTGTATGTGCACACGCTGTGACTGTCCCATCCGTGCCCTTCTCTGGGTCTGTCCTCGCCCCCCACACACCTGTGGCAGGTGGAGATTCCAGGCACACAGGTCTGGAATCAGTGGCGATTCTTCTGCTGTTCTCAAGTTAGGTTACCTTTCCAGACCTCCGCTCTCTCTTCTGAAATGAGGCTCACAGGAGGCTCTGCCCCCGGAGGTAGCCGCCCTCTCCCTTTGGGGTACAGGAGGGCGGACGTGCACAGGCGTGCTGCCCGCTCGCTCACCTTCAGTCCCTCTCTCCCTAACAGATTATCGCAATCTGACCTTCGACCCAGAGAGCGCCAACCGCCACCTCTACCTGTCCCGGCAGGCCCAGCAGGTAAAGCACTGTCGAAAGCCCCGGGGCCCAGCCGAGCGGGGCAGCTACGAGCTCTGGCAGGTTCAGTGCACCCAGAGCTTCCGGTCGGGGCGGCACTACTGGGAGGTGCACGCATCTCACCACTCGGTGACACTGGGCGTCGCCTACCCGGAGCTGGCACGGCACAAGCTGGGGCCCCACACGGACAACATCGGCCGCGGACCCAGCTCGTGGGGGCTCTGCGTCCAGGAGGATTGTGCCCAGGCCTGGCACAATGGGGAGTCCCAGCGCCTCCCAGGGGTGTCGGGGAAGCTCCTGGGCGTGGACTTGGACCTGGCCTCTGGCTGCCTCACCTTCTATAGCCTGGAGCCCAAGGTCCAGCGCCTGCACACCTTCCATGCCATCTTCACCAAGCCCCTCTGCCCCATTTTCTGGCTTCTAGAGGGTAGGACCCTGACCCTGTGCCATAGGCCTGAGGCCAGGCTCCCTCCAGGGCTCCAGGAAGAGGCCTCTGGGCTCAGCTGAGGAAGGCACCGGATGGAAATCTGGGCTGGGGCAGGTGCCACTGTGCCTGTGTGCCCGAGAGCTGCCCAGCCCTTGGCCTGAGGGCCTAAGGCCACAGCTATAATAGGACCAGCTGTTGGCCAGAAGACCGACTCGGGACCAGGCTGGGCCACTTGTGGGCGTGGGGAGGACCCCCCACAATACTGGAGTTCACTTTTCCAGCCTCTTTGAAGGGGACAGGGACTAGGAATGAGATAAAATGGGAGGCCCCTGTCCCAGGCAGTACCCAGTTCTCAGTGTCGCGGGGCCTCAGAGGCTAGGGCTGTGGCCAGCTAGCACACGTGTCTGCCCCAGGGCACCTCCCACCAGACAGGGCAGACCAGGGAGGGTCGGGTGTGGGGAGCTGAGCCACGGAGCACTCACTCCCCCAGAAAACTCAGAGAAAAGGCGTTTTTACCTCTTCCTTCCTGGTCTCTATTTCTTTTTTTTTTTCCTAACAGTTTGGTATATTTTGGCTTGCTATTATGTACATCCTCGTGATTGCCATTCCATAAACAGTTGTGTTTTCTGCATTTTTCACATGATAAAAATTGTTTCCAGAATGATTACTATATAAACAGTTGTACTAGTGAGTCTCAGGGTTTATTTACACATGACTGGACACTGAAATTGTTTTATTGGGGGCCATAAAAATATCGCCACAATGAATGTTTTTGAGCAGGGGGCTTTGTACAAGCTGAAGTGGAATTGCTCTGTAGAAAAACAGTGAGCCCTGGAAGATTTTATGTTTGAACCAAAGGCCAGAACGGCACATTCCTGAGTCAACTTGATCCCTCTGTCACCTCCCCTCTGCCCACCGTCCCCTCATCATGTCAGCCAGCCGTGGCGGCACCTGGGCCTGTCGTCCCGACCAGGGTTGGGGGGGGGACACACACTGACACGCACCCAGCACGCTGCGCTGGGCCCCTTTGCTGTTGAGAACACGCTCCGGGGAGAACCCTGCACGAGTCATGGCTTGTGTTGGTGGCTGTGGGCTGCTGGGTCAGAGGGCAGCTGTAATTTTGTTACTGAACACATCCCAGTTCTTGATCTGTAGGGTGATTACAAAGCAAATGCTTTGTAACTTCTTATATTGTATGTACTTGTACGCAAATATTTGTATTTGTTAAAACGGACCTCCCTCCCGTGTTGCAATCTGGCCTTGGTCGCTGCTACCGTCATGAGCCCCTTTGGCGTCCTTGCTCCTTGGTAGTGTGGCCCTCTGGTCAAGGACAAGGCCAGGCCTCTGACTGGTGCGGCCTGGGCAAGGGGCTCCCAGTCGGATCCCTAAGCTGGGGGGCTCCCCAAACTTGGGGGGGGTTCAAACACTGGGCAGCCTGACAGAGGGACAGGAAGCAACAGGACCTCACTGAGCAGGCAGGTTAAGGCCCAGTGGGGCTGGAAGCTGGACGGGGCTGGCCTCATGGCCACCCCTGCTGGCTGCCCAGAGCACTGACCACCGCCATCAATCCTGACACCAAAGCCTCAATACTCGTGCCCACCTGCTTGAACCCACGCTCTGCAGGGACAGGAAGGACGACTGGCTCCCTTTTTACTTCCGTGGTGAGAAGTGTTTGGGGACACTTGCTCCGTGGGTTTACTTTTTTGTCCCTTCCATGTGGATCTCAGGGGGCGTTCTGTACTGCGACTATTAAGTTTTGTGGCCTGAGACAAGATGGCACCGCCATTTCTGTAGAGTGGCCCTGGCGCAGCACTTCTCGACATGGGACAAAACATAGAACATTTACGGGTCTCTCGGAAAGCTTCAAATTAAACTCGCCTGGTCCACCTGATTCTGACGGAAAAACGCACTGCTAGGGAGGGACTGGAAGCATGGACTTGGGGTGTCACATCTGAACAGCCAATTTCCACCCCACGGCTCACAGCTTCTGGGCTTCTGTGAGGCAGAATCAGAATGGACACACAGAACAGGGGCGGGGGAGGGTGGGGACATTTTACAAAACACGGACTCTTACAGCATAGGACAGAGAGCAATAGTGTAATAACTCTACGGTACCAGGGGGCACTGAAAATATTGGGGGGGACACTCCATAAAGTGTACAATTCTCTAACCACCATGCTGTACACCTGAAATTCATATAAAACAAATTAAATTGTAACTGAAAAAAAAAAACCCTGCAAGTTAATAGATTAATAAAAGACGGGAGCTTAGTGGCCAGTGGAGTTGGAGGGCGTTGGGTTGGAGGTCGGAGAGGTGACGAGTAGGGCAGAGGCTGCTCCGAAGGAAACAGAAATTCAGGTACCTGGGATCCGGAAGTCGGGGGAGCCAGGGGAACCTCCTGAGATGCGGAGGGGAAAGGATGCCGTTGGAGAGGGCCCCACCCAGCGGAGCTGTCGGCCGCGGAGCTGTCGGCCTCGGCTGGGGGCTGAGCAGAGCCCCTCGCAGGTTCTCCTGGGGGACTTCCCAGAAGGAAAGAAGTAAACCAGGGAAGGGAAAGGCAGACCTGGGATCCAGGGCCACACAGTGGAATTCGACGTGAAAGGGAAGCGAACGAGAATCTAAATCTCCAGAAATCTGAGTCCCGCCCCCTCTTCCACACACAGGCTAGAGGCCCCTCGGACACGTGACACGGGGGTGACCTTGGAGAGAGACTCATCCCAGTGAACAAGAGCGGGGAGTAGGCAGGGCACAGGACTGTCCGATTTTTATCAGTATAAGCCTCATTGTTTACTTTTAAAACACTCTAAATATGATTTGGAATAAACGCAAGTCTGATTTTTTAAAAAGTACGCCAAAACATTTTGAAAAAGAATGTGGTTTGAATCTGGTTTCAGTTTCTTTCAAAGATGCAAGCAAAGTTAGGATGGCTTGTTAATTATTCTCATTGTTTGGGCTGTTTTTGCTTGTTCTTTTTGTTTCTGTTCAACCTTTTTCTTTTCTTTTCTTAAGCAATACTGCAGGCCTGGCTGGTGTAGCTCGGTAGATTGAGCACAGGCCTGTGAACCAAAGGGTCACCAGTTTGATTCCCAGTCAGGGCACATGCCTGGGTTTCGGGCCAGGTCCCCAGTAGGGGGCGCACGAGAGGCAACCACGCATTGCTGTTTCTCTCCCTTTTTCTCCTTTCCATCTCTCTCTCTCTAAAAATAAATAAATCTTTTAAAAAATAAAATAACCCTGGCTGGTGTAGCTCAGTGGATTGAGTGCGGGCCTGTGAATCAGACGGTCAAGGTTAGATTCCCAGTCAGGGCACATGCCTGGGTTGCAGGCCAGTTTCCAGCAGGGAACACATGAGAGGCAACCACACATTGATATTTCTCTCCCTCTTTCCTTCCCTTCCCCTGTAAAGATAAATGAATAAAATCTTAAAAAATAACAATAAAATAAAATAAGCAAAACTGCAGTCAGACAGACTCACATACAAGGTTTAAGATTATTTTCAGCCTGCATCTTCTGGGTTTAAATTCTTTCTCCTCCGCAGGACTAGTTATGTGACCTACGGCTCCCACATTTCACAACACAGTCCTCGCAAGGATAGAGGGGGAGAGAGAGATGTAGGCACGGACATGCTCCAGCAGAGCTCAGAAAGCACCAGTTATACTTTCCCCTTAAGAGCCAACTCATTTAAAAAAGAGTGACTATATTGGGCAAGCAACTTTATGCTACTGCAAATGAAAATATCAAAACGCCTCCACCCAGACAAACCCCATCTCCACGCCTTCCTGGGCGAGCAGATTTCCCTGAACCAGCCGTGGCCAGGAGAGAGGGCCAGCTGGGACTCACCCCTGAGCACCCCCAACCCAAGAGGCACCCTGTCCCCTCCAGAATCATGCACGTGGTCTCAGCAAGTCCAGGCAGCCTGGCTGCCAAGCCACGGTGCAGGGTGGTGCTGATGCTTGTGCCTCTGAACCATTCTGGTCTTGGCAAATGAGAGCGGGTCATGATCAAGGCCCCCCCCCCGCCCCCCCGCCGTTGGAAAGCAACGTATGGAACTCATTACCCGCCTTGCCACCAAACTGGGCACGCCCCGGCCCTCCCTCTGCTACTCCTTCCACCCTGAAGATCCTTTCCCATCCTAGTTTGTGTGGCCGGAGTCTGAGCAGTCAGTCCAAGAAAGCCCAGCTCAAATGTCACTTCTTCCCTGAGGGTCTTCAGGAAGCCCCCTTCCTTTCCCATGAACCAGCCCCCCAGGTAGGAGTGGATGGCGCCTCTCTCGTAGTAGTTCATAGATCCTGGTTTTCTGATGTCAAGAGGCGCTGCACAGCGTATTTCTAAATTAGACTCTTAACCTGTGGTCTTGCGGAGAAAGTCTATCTTCATTTTCATTGTCTTCTAGCCAAAATGGCATATCTCTCGGTTATGAACAGAGAGGAGACACCACAATGCTACCAGCAGTACTTGTGACTTGTCACTGAAATTAGAGACTTTCATAGCAGTGGTGACAGACACCTTGAAGTACCACTGATGTTCGTCACCGTTACAGTAACTGTGAGGCCTCGAGCAGATCTTGTTCTGTATGGTGTTAAAGAAACATATATATAACATTATCACAAATTTGTTTCTTTAATGTTTCTTACCTGTGTTTCAGGGTAACTGGTTTCCATGGAATCCCACGAATTTTACTTTGTACGTCAAAAAGCGTGACTTCGAAGAGGGCTCTGTAGGCTGCGCCAGGCTTTGAGAGGGTCCCGGGCACATGAGACAGGCTCACCCCTTTATTCCTTTCACTTTGGGGCCTCATCAGCAGAAGGTCTGCAGGCCTTGGGGTAGACAGACTTGCCTAAGTTCTGTTTTTTTTATTTTAGCATAGTTATCTATTTAAAGAAAAGTCACACCCTGACTGGTGTAGCTCAGTGGATTGAGCGCGGCCTGTGAACCAAAAGATCAGGATTCAGTTCCCCATCAGGGCACATGCCTGGGCTGCAGGCCAGTTCCCAGCAGGGGATGCACCAGAAGCAACCATACGCTGATGTTTCTCTCCTTCCTTTCCCTTCTAAAGATAAATAAATTTAAAAAATACTAAATGTAAACCGTGAAAGTGAGCGTGTTAGCTTTTAAAAAAAGAAAAAGTCACACAGACAACTCAGAGTTCCCATGCACCTCACTCCCAACTCCCCCTTTTGTGGACATCTGACATGACTCTGGTGCACCTGCCACAGTTCAAGAGCTTCGGTGGGTATATTCTCATTCATCTTATTCCGCAATTCATTCAAATTTCCTTACTTTCCCCCCAATGTCCTTTTTCTCTTTCGGAAGCCCACCCAGGGATACACGTCATATTTAGTCGTCACGTTTCCTTAGTCTTGTCTTAGCTATGACAGTTTCTCAGCCTTTCCTTGTTCTCAATGACCTTGGACCTTGACCATGTCCAGGAGTACTAGTCAGGTATATTGTAGACTTTCTCCCAGTTGGGATTTGTCTGATGTTTTCATCATGATTAGAAGGGAGGCATGGGGTTTTGGGCGGGGGGAGGAAGACCACCTCCTGTCAAGGGTGCTTACTATCAACAAGACTTATCCCTATTGATACTGAACTTGACCCCCTGGTTGAGGTAGTGATTGTCAGGCTTCTCCACTGTAAAGTCACTCTTCTGCTCCCCTCGGGAGAAAGTTACTCTGCACAAGGCCCCCACTC